GGGATTAGAGCAGGCTACTACCAAGGCCCGCCCAGCCAAAATAATGACAGTTACTGCTATTATAGCCTGTCTTCGGCGCTCTATATGAGCCTGATGGATTGCTTGGTAAATTTTGACAGCTGCTCTTGTGTAGACCACGGTGAAGCAGGGATGAAGCAGAGCCCATCTGATAAGCCATAGCTATTGGTATACTAGATACATGTACGAGTTCAGGGCGCTTGTCTCCTCCGGATTTCACGGATACTCCGCTCCTGTAACTCTAACTCGCGCAGAAATTCTCGGAAGTGCCGCCACGTGACAAAATGCCGGTGACTCGTAACTCCAACTCTTTGCCGAACAGGCCCTTATGTTGCCCCGCGCCTTTCTGTGCTTCCCGACGTCCGAATCCCCGCCACCCGACCCTCCCCGGACTCACGCCGTCCGAGCCCAGTGCCCGATACTGCGGTTCCGAAGTCGACGGTATCCGTAGTGAAGCGGATACAGACGGGTTGGGCGCTCTTAGGTGTGCAGTCGAGTATACCGTATGTACATATATGATCAAGGTGGTGGCAGGGAGGTCTGTATTCGCGCGCGACGACGGTCACGGGGCAGGGCGTGCGAGTCGCTGCAGGGCGTTGCGACTTGCGAGCACATGCTCCTGCCAGGCCGCTCGGAACACCGGGAACAGGCCCTCCGGCCGTCCGGAGAATGCAGGAACCAAGCTCGAGGGGTGGGACGAGCCAGGGGACGTCGACGATCCGGACAAGGCGGTCGTGTCGTGTCCTTCCGTCCTTCGTCCGCGCTGCGCTCGGACGCGGAGGCGCGGTTGGTGCGGAAACGCCACACGCTGTTCTGCGTTCTCTCGCGATCCGCATCGGTGTCGTAGGAATTCCTTCCCATGACCTCGAAGCTCGGCACACAATGGGACGGGGAGGCAGGAAGAGGAGGACATGTACTGTTCAGTGGCGAGCGGGAATTACATTCTACTAGTGGCACCAATGGTACATGGGGAGACCCTTGTGATTGACGGACGCAAGACTGAATGACCGGATAAATACTAGAATTGTAGTGTACGCCAGGAAAGGAGAAATCGTGAGGACGGGACGAGGAAACGCAGAAGGCAATTGTCGTAACGGTGGTGTTCTACAGTGCGTGATGTGGATGTTCAGTGTTGTGAGGGAAGTCGTGTGTGTGGGCGATGCAATTAGGAGGGAGCGTGTAGGTAGCATGACCGATGATGCGGAGGGAGTGAGGGGATGCAATGCAAGAGACAGCAGCGAGGACGGGAACGATGCACGATGAGTAACCAATCGCATGTCGAGATGAGTAGTGGAAGGGTGAGGGGGGGGGGTAAGGAAGAAAAGAGCGTATCGTCCGAGCCCGTGAAAAAGACCAGAGCCTCGCAACAGCCAACGGACAACTGACCAGGAAAATACGATCCCATGCGCACCGCTCGGGACCGCCCATGTATCAGTCTGCGCGTCCCAACACCGCCCTCGCTTCAGGCTTCGCCGGTCTCATGCCGCCGCGGCCACGAGCTGAGACAGCCCGCTTTTGACGTACGTCTGTTGCTCGCCCGAGAGTCGTCTGCGGAGGTACACTCCCAGTGGCCGGCCGTTCGTGCGCGACAGGAGCACGTTCGCTACCAGGCGGCCGCGAGTGTCCTTCGCAGAGATGCTCGACGAAAGCCCCGGAGGGGTGCTGAGGTCGGACGCCGACATGGAACCCGAAGAGCCTGAGCTCGGCACGGTGTACGTCGACACGGAGACCCGGCTGCGGGAGCCGAGGGACGTGCGGGCTGGCGGCGGGGGGGACAGGGGCACGAGCGGGGCGTCCTCGTTGTACGCGGTGTCGGCGAACGGGTCCTCGATTACGGGGATGTCGACCGGTATCGAGAGGATGGGGGCAACGGAGAGGGATGGGGTTAGCGCGGATGCCGTACGCTCTGCAGGGACAGGGGGCGGTGGGGGCGCACGGCGGCTGGCGGTGGGGACGCCGTATGAGACGTACGTGCGGCGGGGGCGGCTGCCGGAGGCTGACACGGAGAGGGGGACCCCGACGCGCATGCCCAGACCTGTCGAGCCGCTTGACGAGGGTCCGGTGGCGGGCGAGGTTCGGGGACTCGGAGCGACAGGCGCTGAGTCGTAGGAGCGGGCACGGGGGCCGCATACGTTGACGTTGGGGATGCGGTTCCAGGACGCCTCCATATTGTGCGCAGAGAAGCCAAGGCGTGACGGGGAGCCGAACTGGCCATGGATGGTGCGGATGCGGTGGGTGGAGACAGACATGGTGGTCAGTAGTAAGAGCAGGGAGGAACGGTGAGTGCGGGTGAGTGTCGAGTGCAAGGCGAGTGCAGATATAAGAATAAGGATCAGTAAGTGTACTTGCTGGGCACTTTGATGCAGGGCGTGGGCTGGAAGGAGTACGGGAAGGAGTACTGGCGGGGAGCACGACGGGGGCACAGGCTGATCAAGGACCGGGAATATATACGGGCACATCATCGGACGGGACACAACCCCCCGCAGACGCCCATCTGCGAATCGGCTCCTGGATCAGGTAAGTGGCATCACATCCGCCTTGAGCCGCTTCCCTCTGAGGCGGTGCCGCCGACTCAGGCCAGCGCTTGCACCGAACCGCTCGGCTGTCTGCTCGCCAGGACAACTCGCCCAGCCTCGTGCTCCCGCTCACAACGCCTGCTCTTCTCAGAACAACAGCTACCCGACGTCCAAATCCTGTTCACAATGGCGACCAGCCGACTGAACAATTCGCGTTCTTGTCGACCGCGACGCTGTACGTATCCCCCAGCTCGGACGCTTTGACTTGCCATCTTCGTGTTCGGCGCAAAGCTCTTCCCTGCTTGTCCAGCACGCGCTCCTCCCAGCCCGAAGCGCCGCCCTGCCCCGCCACTGCCCTGCCTTCCCCTCTGCTTTTCTCAACATGTCCCCTTCGAATGCATTCGACGTCCAGATAAGCTTCGCGCTTCTCCCGTGGGCCGTGTAGCGTGTTCCTGAGGACGTCGTTATCACCACTCTGCCCGTCCACGAGCCTACGACACTGCACGAAGCTACTCGCCCCTGCGCTGCCAACGTTTCGTCCCCCCATTCTGAGAAGACGACAGCTGTCGTGCCCGTCCGAGTACAGCCCGTGTCTCGACTGTGCTGGCCCGCCAGCTAGCCCGCCAGCTGGCCGCGTTGTGCCGCAAGTGGCACGCTCTGCCAGCCCATCCCGATCTCCCAAAGGAAGCTTCTGGGGACGCTGTCAGTATCTCAGACACCTCCCCAAGCGGCGCCGCGGGGGAACCGCTCCGCGCCCTCCATGACAAGTACGTATGGATCTGGTGGGAGGAGAGAGAGGGTCAGCTGGCCCTGGCCTGTGAGTGGCGCCTGCGTTTAGCTCAGACTTCGAACCGTTCTCCGCATCTTTTTCTGCGATGCACGGTGCTTACGCCGCTGTCGGATGACTCTCGCTGTCGGTACAGTCTCCGGCCGCGGCGAATGCGGAAGCCGTTCCCCAATCCCCAGCGAAGCCCAATGATCATCTGTGTGGCCATCCGTCTAGATGTCTACCACATAGTGCGGAGATGAGGAGATCCCAGGACGCACCGGAGCACGATCCGAGTACGCATCTAGATCCGCTAGTGGCTCAGTCCGATCTGGCGGCGACCAGGGCGGCGACTCTATGCGCAAGTTTTAGAGTTGACGATCCCATCCAAGGACTGTCGAGTGGCACCCTCTTCAGGACATTATCCATCAGACCCCGGTGATACTAGGACGTGCAGGCGTCCGGATGTCCTACGCTGGCGTTCTACAGCCCACATATCGCCGCGAAGCACCGCTGCGGCGATGCTCCTCTCGTGTTTTGTCTAGCCTGTGTCCACGCGTCCGCTTCTCGTGAACGTCATTCTCCCAGCTGCTCTCCAGGAGGGTGCACAATGCGCCCACACTAGACCGTGGCCTTCACCGCGTCCCTCGGCTGGCATCTGTCTTCACCGCCTGCAGGTGTGGTTGGAGGATCTGAAGTCCGTGGCGGTTTCTGATCTGCGTGCCGCTCGCCCCGATAGCCCATCGTATGTACATGCGAATCGCACACGGCGGGTCTGGGGATCCTCCATCACAACGAGGCCGCAAGCGGGTTAACGTTGCATACGTACGCCCTTCGAGTCTCGGCCCTGCTTATCTACGCATCCCTCAAATTCTTCTCGGCCGCGCAGAGTGCAGAGTATCCGGATTGAAGCTGCCCGTGCGTTGCGGAGGCCTCTGACTTGTAGCCTCGTGCCTCGTGCCCCCTGCCAGTGCGCCGCGGCAATCAGCCCGGTCTTCCTCGCGAGTCGCCCGTGTCGCCCGTGCTTCGATGACGGCACGGTCCCCACACTAATGTGATGTTTTTGTCTGGTAATGCAGGCACGCGGCGGTGCCTCCATTGTCCCCTGCGTTCTGTGCGCGGGGTGCGCTGCCGGCGGCGGGGGGTTCATTTCTGCTAAGTACTTAGCAAGTACTTGACCACAGTTCTACGGCGCCGCGGAGCCCGAAACTTTGTTGTGTGCGGTAGCGAGGGCGCGCGGCGCCCTCTTCTTGTTTCCGTTTGCAGGTTGTCCCTGCGAGTTCTAGACGAGCCGGTTGTACAGTCGACACCCTCTTAACCCATAGCCCTCGGGACAGGCCCAAATATATGGGTTTTGAGGGGTTATGGGCTACCAGAACTTTAGCGCCTTCTAAGCGCCCTGATAAGTCCCAGTTAGCGAGCGCTGAACAGGCGTCTACTGACCCTTCGAGGGAGCGCTATGGGATTTCGAACACACTAAGCTACCCACAATGTGGTTGAAGCATGGATGGATGCTGGGAGGACACAAGGAAGCATGTATCGAGTACTTTGTGGGTTATTGATGAGCGAAATGTCAATGTGACCACTATTACCGTATGGGTTTTGAGCCCTAGAAGGCTATGAGTTATGGGGTACTGGGGACCTATGGGTTATGGGGTCGAATTCCCCCTATCCCGACTTGGGAAAGCCAAAATCCTATGGGTTTTCAGAGTTTATGGGTTACTAGGGGTATGGGTTAGGAGGGTGTCGACTGTAGTATGTCAAGGTGCTGCGGTCGTCGGTTTGTAGCTCAGCTCAGCGTTGTCTGGCCCCGCTGCCAAGTCCGGCGCCCTCGGAGACGTAGAGATTGCCTCCCACGGAGGACTTCACTTTGTCGTGGGCGCGGCCATTGTTCGTTCGTCCTTGTAGCCTATACTAGACAGCTGTTCGATGTGTCCCTCCCACGCGTCGGTGGCGAACAACATACGAGCGGCGCATGCACGAACTCAACTATGCTCTGCGACGTGCGCACGTCTCCTGGGTGACGACGACCCTTGGCCCCTTGGATATCTGGATGGCATTGCGACATCAGGGTAGGTTCTTTTGAGTGGGTGGCTGTCCTAAACTTCTTCCCACCTATGCTCAGCATTCTTGCAGAGGACTTCTGGCTCGCGTTGTTAACTCGGAGGCACACTCTTTCTCTCTGCCAGCTGCCGGGACGATACTGCGGTCTCGTTTCGTTCACCATTGGACAGACACATACGCCGAAGACTCGTAGGGTCAGGTTTCCGAGCTCCCTCCTTGACGCCGTATCATCAGCTCCCCATGGACCAGCCATGCCCTCGCTGGCATGCAGCCTTACAGGCTGGGAAGACTGGCGATATAGTGGCATGAACCTCGCGCTCGTCTAGAGAAGCTTCGATGTGCACGGACCACACCGGCGAGAACCGCTGTCAGGGAGGCAGGCTAGATGCGGCTGGCACCTTGAGTGGGTCTTGACACCTCTCTCGCTCCCATGTGAAACCACAGTTGACTGTGAACGGGGGACACGGAATCACGCCTTTTTTCAGGGACTCCTTGCTACTGGCCCTGTGCCCTACGACAAGAAGCGCCTTCTCAACCGCATCAGCGTCTTGATTCCGGGCTGGAAGTTTGCGCTCGCCGTGTGCGTGTCGCTTGTATCGGCGAATGTGTCGAGTACGCAACCCTCAACTGTCTAATCAGAGGGTCAAGCGCTCAAGGCAGGGCGACGGTGTTGACGGGTCTGACGGTGGTCCATTCTCGAGTACTGTACCAGGCTGCTAGCGGCATACACCAGGCGCTGTATGTAGCTCCGCATCACCCTAGGAGCACAAGCGCTTCAACCAACTCACTCTTCTCTGGGGAACATCTTGGCAGCAGTACAGGTTTCCAACCACCGCGGCTGGACAGCACCGGCGCGGCTCACTGCCGGTACATAACGAGGACCCTCGCTAGGGTGTCGATGAGTCGTCCTACTACCACTTCCACTGCACACCCTCCATTCGCACTGCCTGATTGAGAACGGCCTCGCCTTTGCGCACGGCTTCCTTGATTCCTCTGTTAGATCCACGCGATGAGTGCAGTGTAAGTCTTATTCACCAATATCTTCTGCTCGGAACCAAAGCTGCCGCTCATCAGCTATACTGACTTACTGCCCGCTTCGCTGACCGTCTGTTTGGACGTACAGTCATTGGCCAGAGGTGCTCCAGCAGGCCCTCGAAAATCCCGAAGCTTCCAATGCATCCCCTGTGGGAATGGGCGCGTAATGAGCGGGGATGATGCGCAGCAACACATATACAAAACACATGGGCTTCTGTTGTGCGTTGGGTCTCCATCGGTCGTCTCTGCGACTTGCTCTGATGAGTATATTGCCTTTTCGACGACTAGGAACCCCATCATGTGCGGTGTCTGCGGGTGGCAGTTCTACACTCTGGGCATATACAATGCACATCAGTGGATGCAGTATGGCGAACGACCACACGCGTTCCGGTGCCATGCTCAATATTTGTAGACTACATGTTAGGCCGACGAACCGGAGTAGATGAGCTGCTCACATCTGGCTTCGGTCTCATGGCCAACGGTGCTCTTGCTCATCAATGTCTGTCATTTGTTTTGTATTGTCGCAAGAGCGAGTTACTCGATGTAAGGCTGTTCATACTACCGAAGCCCAGGCCACTTCCTCCGCGTCCTTGATCTACCCAGTGCGCGGACAGTAGCCGACCCGGCTCGTCCTCCCCTCTGCGGCACCACGATGACACCCTCGCATCCTCTTGACCCTTGGCTCCACCGCGGCAAACAACTATTTCACACCAAAGCTTTGAGGGCGAGGAAACAAGGCTTTCCACAACATTCCCTAGCGTCCTGGTGCGCTCTAGATCTACTCGACTAACCGCGAGATACTTAGACATACGCCTGGTTGTAGCCTGACGCACCACGACACGCGCACGCGCAAACACTCGTTGACTTCGAACATGCAGCGATAAGAATATAATGCTATCCAACACCCCAATGACCACCCAATGTACTTACAACAAGGACTCCATGCGTCTTCCAATAACATTAGTACCCGAACGCGCGTTAAACAGCATGCACGGCTCCCAGAGCCTCGTCGCCGTGGTCTCCTCCCACAGTGACGACGTGAAATGTAACGCGTGAGCGACAGCAAGGTGGATGGTGTCCGAAAGACGAAACAATGATGGGCGAAGCAACAACGACATGATAGCGAGAGGAGAAGAGGCAGACGACAGACCAGAGACAGATGGAGAAGCAGCGACAGTAGGCCGGGCAAACTCCATGCGTCAAGTCTACGTGTGTGCGTATGTGTGACCTGAATCTTGACCCGGCCGCAGTATTAGTAGGATGAGGGGGATCATGAGATGCGTGGATATAGTGGGTCGTAATGCGATGGTAAGGTTGAACAAGATGCGATGAGGCGAAGCACATGTAGACACCGGGAGGGTCGCTATGGATTGATACCGAGACCAGCTAGCTCTTTGCGGATCTCAGCCTCGGTCTCGATCTTCTTGAGCTGGGTCGCCTCAAGCCGTTCGCCCTTCTTCTGCTTGTCCTTGAGCTCGTCAATCGCCTTGAGCTATTCGCATGGAAACCATGCTTGTCAACACCTGTCTCTTCACGCCTAGAGAATATACACGCACCTTCTTGGTCAAGTTCCGGACTTTCTTTGCTATCGGGTCGAGCCCGCCATCAGCGCCCGGCGTAGGCGGGATGGACACAGCGCCGTCAGCGCCATCAGCACCAGCACCAGCACCAGCATCGGCCACAACCACGTTCCCATTCCCATTGACGTTGATGTCCAATGACGGACGTGCACCCCCGTCGACCTCACCACCCTCCTTCTTGCCGCCCTCCTTCTTCTCCTTGTCTTTCGCGCCCTTCCGCTTCCGCCCACGCTTCTCCTGGTCGCCCCCAGCCTGGCGCACGGGTGATGGGGAAGTCGGCGCGCCGGGCACGTGTTTCCTGCCGTTCTGGAACCGCCCTGGGGCAGGACTCCTGCTGTAGCGCCCATTGGGCGTCGACTGCCCGCTGGGCGTGCCATCCTCCCGCTTGTACGCGGCTGATGCCTCGAGACCGCGTAAGCCGGGTGGTCGGTACGCACCAGCAGGCTTCGTAGGGGTAGGCTTCGCGACGTCGGCGTGTTGGAGAACGCTTGGAGCAGGAGCGGGGGCGGGGGGTATGTTTTGCGGGAAGGGAGGGAGGGCGTCGACTGGGGTGGGTCGCCATGACACCTGGTAGAGCTCTTCCGTGAGCTGAACGTGAACGAGCGGTCCTGTGCAGTGCCAAATCTTGATGCCGTTGTCGACGCGGAGTCGAGGGGAGAGCGTGGCAGTGAGGAGGAAGCGGCCGTCGGGCGACCACTCACAGTGCGAGGTGTTGGACGCATCGATACTCGTGACCTTGTTAAGTGTCCGGCGATCGTAGATGTCAACTTTACCTGCAAGGTTGCCAAAGCCGGCGATAGCCAGTAGACGACCTTGTGGGTTAAAAGAGATGAAGTTGCAGAATGCGGTGCCGAAGTCGTGAAGAGTCCGGGCACGCTGGTCGAACAGCATCGTCTTCGCAGGCATGACTGTCGGGGAAGACATCGGTACAAAGACATACGAGGTTGTAATTTCTACTCACAGCCATAGCTGACAACAAACTCCTTCGAATTCGGACTCCACGCGAGATCATGGACGGGACCATCTTTATCGAGGGTGACACGACAGTCGAAGTTGCCGGCAGCGCTTAGCAAGTAGAGACCACCGGTCTCGCCGTAGTAGCTCTTGTTCGCTTGATCAACATCAGTAGCCGTCAGGACGAGAACTTGAGTGCCAAGTGTGTTCCACTTGATTTGGGAGCGCTGAGCCTTGAAGAAAGTCTTCTGGCATGTCGGAAGGCCGTTGAGCGCCGTAAGGCTGTAAATCTTGACGGTGGCCGGTTGTCCCTAGACGTGGGTCGATCAGCCAATGATGCTCCATGACAGCTACATGCCACCCGCTCTGAATTGTGCACGAAGCGATCCAAGATAGCATTCAATAGCGCTCGTGTGATAGGCGGTGCGTTGAGAACTATGCTCAATCCTGGACACCGACGCCGGACATGGTCCGAGGCAACGGCGGCATACGGGGCGGAAAGGGGCGCTACACATAGTTGAATGCACACCTTTTTCTCCGCGACGAAGACTGCCACGGACGGGTTGAGTCCCGGGCTGAGAGTGATGGACGTCGCACCCTCGACCTTGAGTTTATCCACTACACCCTTGGACCACTCCGCAGGTCGGAACACCTGGATCTCCTGGCCAACCAGGCGAACAGCGTGAGACTCGGAGATGGTGTATTGGAGTTCCCACCCCTCCTGCGACTTCTGTGAGAAGGCGACAAGTTCCTCGCCTGTCGAGACGGAGAAGATGCGGAGGTTCTTGTGTTGAGTGCCGTCCTCAAACTTTTGGGGCCTCTCCCAGGTAGAAAGGTACGTTCCGCGTGGCGAGAAGCCGATCTCTAAGACATTGGGGAGAGAGAGCTCCTGGAGCAGCTGTGCGCTCTCCGCCTGGAAGATGCGGACACCGGTAGGGATGGCGTATGCCAAGAGACGGCCATCGGGGCTGTACTGGTACGTCCTCGCGGGCACCTCCGGTGCTTGGAAACTATCGATAGAATCGTAGTTGGGGGTTCCGCCAACGAGGCCGAAGCTCTTCTGCGCGCGGTCTAGATGAGGGCAATCAGGTCAGAAGACACAGAAAACAGCCAGAGTTTCGGCGGTAAACTGACAAGCATACTGCTGGGACGGTTGCGAGGCCATTGTGTGCGCAAGAGAGGGTGAGAGAAGCAAGTTAATGCTTCAGAGGGGGTCGGGGAGGGTGAGGTTTGGACTGAGCTGCAATCAGCGTCCTCATCGCCGAAAAATGGTGGCTGGGCTTACGTAACGGGGCGAACGGGTTAGGGTCTGCTGTGACTGAGGCCTGTGACATTAGCTGTCACACACAATGCACGGGATCGGTACGCGCCGCGCACATATTGGAGCTCGCTGCTCTCGTCGTCGTGCTACTAGCGGTCCTGGTCTCACTTGTCTCCCGTCTCTCACCATGAGCTCACCTTCAGACCCCATTCTTGCGCTCAAGGAGGCTATAAAGTCGAGCAGAGGGAAACCGAACATCACCTACAAGAAAGGTTCCACCACTGTCATTTCGTTCGCCGATGCCACACACCTTGTGCTATCCCCAAAAGCAACATTCCCCAAAACCGCTCCCACAAGACTAAGGAAGATGGGGGCAACCTCGACAGACCCGGAAGCGAAACCTGAAGACTTCTACTCTCTGGGTGCCGTCTATCTCGCTTGGATGCTTCGGGATGCTCCTGGTGCCGACTACATGAAGCGAATCCGCGAGAATGGCCTCGCTGTTGGGTTCGTTAGCGTAACAGACCGCAAGGCCATCGTGGACTGGCTAACGGACAAGTCACAAACGTTGCATGGACTGATCACAGTCGAAGGTGTGTACCAATCATCCAAAATACACGTCGTGAGTTGCGGCTTCTTTCGCAACTGCTTCCCTATCTCTCCTTCATCCCTCTGGCTCTATTGGGCTCTCGAATACAGACCGTCTAGACTTCCGGATGTGCTGGGTGAGGGTCTGGCGGCGCATGGGCCTCCACCGTGCTGGGGAAGGACACGAGCACCGTGACCTGGTCTATGTCCGTGTGGGTCTTGGTGTCAGTGACTACGTGTGCAAGGTTGGGTAGCGCTTTAGGAATGGAAAGGAAGAGTCATACCTCCGTGCGCTTCAACAGAAGGTGGGCGCTGTCCGGGTTTTCCCTCGCCCTTTTGTCCCCATAGCCACCAGTACACGACCAGCATGCTGATGATGCATATCATGTGATGGCAATTAGTGCGAAACGCACTCAAGCTCTGTCTATGCAAACCCATCATCTCTGCGCTATACAGTAGCTTGATTTGTGCAGTCTGGCATCCGAGACGTGGTTCGTGGGACGCCGCGATGCAGCAGCAAAGTGGCTCTTCCGTGCCAAGCCTTTCCATTGAGAGTCTTGCCCAAGCGACCTTGACATGGATCTCTACAGTAAACCTCGTCTTTGAAGGAAATCTGGGCTAACACTACATTGCAGTTGCATCGACAACCCCCCCTGGAACACCGCCACAATTGCGAGCTTCGGCTGCGTTACCGTCATCGTCATCGTTTTCCAAACTGTCCGAGTCCACTTCGAGCCCCCTCAAGCGTAGATATGTCATAGACCCCGCAGACATAGAAGTCGTAAAGAGGATCAAGGCGAACGAGATCGAATTACAGGATCGGAATACTGTGCTCCGGGGAATCAAGCCCAACGTTCGTGCCGGTAATCAGTCTCCTACTCTGGCTGACGGATATGGCGTAGAACTTCAACTCGCTGAAGGAGTCGTTTGCCGACAAGCTGAAGAAGTTGAGGGAAGGAGGGAAGAGCACCACGTCCATGAGTACTCTCACCCCGACAGCCGGTTAGTCCCACAATACCTTCTATGATGCGTCGGGATTATTGACCGTCGTTCAGATTCCAAAATGCAGCCTCGGAAAGCTCGTAAGTACCACATCCTCCGTGACCTTAAGCTCGCCGTCGTTACGTTGAGGACTCCCAGGCAATCAATACCCCATCATTATCATCTCCTCTTCGCCGACGTCCCTCATTACAATGCACAACGTGCGTCGCTTCCTGCAAGACGCCGTCTTCGAGCCGTCGCAAGAAGCCCGTACCCGCGCGGCCGCGGAAGGTAATGCGCGCCCGGAAGACATGATTCCCATATACCGAAAGCGAACCACGATCGACTCATCTGGACGCGAAACAGAGACGCAAACTAGGTGCGCTGATGTCATGGGCCATACGGATGCGAACTTTACCTTCCTTCCTGGTTCCTAGGTACTTCGTGGTCGACAGCACCGAGGCGTTGGCGAAGTTCGGTACAGATGCGTGGGACCGCGTGGTGTGCGTACTGACCACCGGGCAAGCGTGGCAGTTCCGGCCCTACAAATGGACGGAGCCGAAGACGCTCTTCCACCACGGTAGGCGTGCGCCACCGCGTGGAAGTACCGTAATTGACGGGCCTTCTGCTGTATTTAGTGAAGGGGATCTACTTTTCGTGGACGAACGACCCGCCTAACCCCAAGATCAAGGACTGGAATGTCACGGAGCTGAAGGTCGGTTCGGATCCCACTGTCCATTATTTGAGCCGTTGTGCTAAGTATGGCACTTTGGTAGATCGACCCTCACCGTCGACATGTGGACAAGTCCGTCGTAGCCCACTTCTGGAAACTCCTGGATCAGTGGACGAGCATGCATAAGCCGTCCCTGGTGCAAGGCTGAACTTCCCTCCGTCCCCGCCAATTCAGTCCACCGTCATCGTCTCATCGTGCTGTATTCCGTGTGCTTCGCTGATTGCATTGTTTTAGTAATGAGATTCGTTGTTCTGCGTACAAGTACACGCGAGTATTAAGCTCTGGTTCGCCGCAAGCACATGGGGCGTCCGGGACGTACTTACGTCCGCTCCTATGTGATCTGTGGAATACGCTAGAAGGAGGTGCGTCATACAACGTCAGCTGTGGAGGCTGTGGTCGCGTTCGGTCGTGTGCTGCTGTCATCCGTTCCGTGGGGCTACGGTCATACAATGTCGATGACCGCTATCCGCCGGGCCCCCGTCGTAACATTATTGAGAAGCAAGCATATCCGCCCAGAACCCTCCTCCAGACACAAGCTCACCAGGTGCTCCTCGGGATGGAGCCTGACGCTGAACGAGCCGAGCTTGCCCCGGGTGCCCAGCTCTCTCGCCTCGAGCTCGTGCTCGTCCCCCTCGAGATCGAGAATAGAGCGCGGGAGCGAGTACGTCCGGAAGTGCACGTGCAGCGACCCGTTTCGCGCCTCTGTGCAGTCCCAGATCGCGCGCCGCACGCCGACGGCGCCGAGTCCCATGTACCCGACCTCGGCCCCGAGCGCGAGCGGGTACGGCACCTCGCGGTAGTCGACGCGAGAGTCGGGGAAGACGCGGAGGACGTGCAGAGCGCGCGTTCCCGCGATGACGAGCGGGTGTGTGCGTGCGTTCGCGCTGTGGGCGAAGGGGCTGATGCGGTATATGCCCGAGCCGATATCAGCGGTCGTGCTCCAGACTGGACGCACAAGGTGTACAGCAGGGCGCCCAGATGACGGGAGGGGAGGATGGGTGACGGGAAGGGGGATCTCGTATATGAACACACCGCCTTGGTAGGCGAGTATGATCTGGTTGTCGGAAAGGACGGAGATGGTGAAGTCTTCGTCTGCCTATGCGGCGAGGGCCTTGGTTAGACGGCTGAAAACGGCGTTCGTGGCAAGACACACTCACCGACCACGGTCCTATGTTCATTGACACTGCGGGGCCTTCGACGTCCGCGTATTGCCGGCCCAGAGGGTAGACGTGCAGGATCATGTCCCCTTCGCCGCTTTCGAGGCCGTACACGAGCACATGTAGGCCAGAAGCGCAAGACCAAACAGAGCCTGTGACAGAAATCTTGCCAACCCGTAGAAATGTAGGCACGGGATCGACGACTGCGATGTGATAGACGTAGATGTTACACTGGCTGTCCCCACCAGTGGATCGCTGTGGTCAGTAGACTGCCAAGGCATCCTGAGTGAAAGAAGTGCACCCACTTGTACCGCACGCCCATCTGTAAGATGATCAGGTCCTCGCGTTCGTGAGTCAAAGACAGACGTGAGCTCAAGTAGAGCACGGACTCGTCCTGTGTCAGCGGTTGCGACAACGTAGCGGCGGGTGCGGTAGCGCCTAGCTCGTGCAGCTGTAGTGAGCCGTCGCGTAAGACGATGACGAGCCAGTCTCCGCCTGCCACCAGGTTCACATGTTCGACCCTTTTGTCGCAGTGGAGGTCGCGAATCAATCGGGGATGGTAGTCGATCTTGTGCCACATGCGATCGAGCTTGGCCGAGTGCAGGACCCACCTCTTCATCTCTTCCACTTCCATGCTGACGAGGCGCAGAGAGAGCTGCGGATTGGGGAAGTGTAGTAGGAGGCGGGACAGCATGTGGTGCCAGATTGTGCGGTCGCGCATGAATTCTTGAGATGCTTTGCAGGTCTGAACAAGAGCATAAGTCGACGGTCACGTCCGAAGCGCGGCAGACACCACATGCGGGAATGCACTTACCGCACAAAACCTGATGACATCTTGAACACTCAGAAGGCGCACGATCGCGAGTTGCACATCATACGGCAGACGATGCATCGCGAGTTGGACGAGTGGAGGGCAAGAATGACAGTCCAGAAACTAAGATATTCAGACAGTTTATCTAATGTATTATCAGCCGCTGGGGATGGGAGAGCCGCGATTAATTCGAATCCACACACCCCCACAAAGCAATGACGCAGCACCGGCTTTTCAGTATGAGTTGCCATTTTGGCGGCTGATCGCCAGTGCCGAGACCAATGACGAGGGGCGACCGGGGGACCTTCGCGGCTTGCATGGCATGTGGGAACTTCGGAGTGCGTCATGCTCCGTAATACAAGGCTGCTCTGTAGTACTTAGTGCCAGACTGCCGGTAAATGTCAGCATCGCCTGACACGCAAAACCTAGAGTTGGAGCGATACTCGCCTGCTGTAAGAGCCACTGTGTCTAGAAATTCCTCCAGATTCCCGGGACGGGGATCTGGAGCATTGATTCAGTTGCTCTCTCGCCCAATCAGGTCACGGTGATGCGGCTCGTCATAGGCCGTCCTATTGAAGAGCTGCTGCCTCATTGACGATCCAGCTTCCATGAGTAGCAGTCTGATGGTTCACTGGATACTTTACACCATTCATTGAGACGATGTAGCATAACGCGAGCCCGACGGGTACGGGTTAACTGACAGATGATTCACATGGCCAGCTCCACCCTCCTGCTCGTGAGAGTCGCCCGCTCTTAGGACCAGTCTAGATGTATCGGGGTCAATGACGGGGGATTATACGACGGAGATCTATGACTAACCTTTATGGATGTCGTTGCAGGGAAGCAGACCTTTTCTGTTGACATAGATGCCGGGATACAGTGCAGTCGCACGGACGATCCTTCGGCTCAAATTCCGACATTTGGCGGACGTTTAGGTTGTTCTCTGGCGAAGAACGGGCATACTCCTCAATCCCACTACAATATCCTACAATGCACTCGATTGAGTCGGACGGAGATGAGGCACTGGTCAGCTGCTCGTCTCCGTCCGCAATGCACCGTCAAACGGCCACTCGGTCCGTTAGGCATGTCTACTCAACTCCACGATCATCAGCCAAATGCCAAGCACGAGCTGGAGTAGACGCATCTCTACGCCGTCTTTGGTTAGTACAGTAGGGCGTACTCAATCAGCGATATCTCGTTTGTTTGCGGCGGTCGACGCGAAGGCGCCCCTATGATGATGCTGGTGTAAGCGAGCCGCCGTTCTGGGCTTTTCGATGGTCTGGGCCCAACACCTGTAGTTTGGTTAGCTGAAATACCAATTGTACCGCTACAGAAGGTTTTGAAACCTTCGAAGTACAGTAGATGTACGTCGAAGTGACTCACCTGAAACAAATGTCGCTCTTACTAATATCTTGAGACCAGCCGTCGGCGGTTGTCAAGCCTCATGCAGATCACCAGAGATCTGTCCCCTTCAGCGAGGATGCCTTGCATTCTCTTACATCATCTCTCTGTGATCCGCGAGTTCTTTGACTTGTCGTCGAGCTGCCGGTCTGCAGGCAGCCTGAACGTGTCGCGATACTGGGAGAGATGGCCACATGGACGTCGGAAAGAGGGAATGTACGCTTATCGGCGCCCAGCTTCCTGTCGAGTCGGAGTCGGATCACAATGCGAACAAAGTAGTCATGGCCCGATCTCACGGAAAAAGCGTTGAGCAGCTTCCAACAGGCGCAGTTACTGCCCTGAATCTTGGTGACTCCCATTACCCAACTCACTTATGTATCGGGCCTCTGCGCCGACCATGACTCGGCCACTCTTTGCTCGCGACGACCATCGTCAAGAGCTGCCTTCCGAAGACAAGGAAGTAGTGCAGAGATGGCGTCGACAGAGGAAAGCTCGCTGCTGGCATCGTCGTCGTCGTCGTCGTCGTCGGCAGATTCAGAGATCTTGAAGCATGATCTGCTCTATCGACGCTTTTCTCCCTCGCAGAAGCGTGTCATCGTATCGCTGATTGCTTATGCCGCTCTGATACCTTGTATGTGCGCCCAGCTTGTGTACGAGACATTGGATCACTAATGGCGCTGAAACCCTGCAGTCCTGGCGTCTGGATCGTTCGTACCTTCTATCCCGGAAATCGCTCGAGAGCTCGGTACAACGGGTCCGATTGTCAGGTAGGCTTGGAGACCAGTCGTGCTGCTAATACGTCCTTCTGACATTCGATCAGCCTTGCAGTAAGCTTGTCACTGGCCACGGCAGCCTTAGGTAGTCTTACCTGGGCGACATATTCTGGCAGATGTACGTTGTCAAACCTCTGCCCCTCCATCGCATCCGCCTCTAAACAGCCCGGCCTTAGATGGACGGCGTTACGTATACGTCAGGTCTTTGCCATGCTTCTGCCTCGGTTCAATTGGGGTAGCGAACTCGCATTCGGTGCCCACGCTCATGTTCTGGCGGTTCGTTCAAGCATTCGGGACATCTAGTGCCATGTCCGTCGGCGCCGGGGTCATCGGAGACATCTACCGCCTCGAGGAGCGAGGTTATGCCATGGGTATATTCTTTGGCGTTAGTTTTTGCCGCCTCCTATCTGCCTCCTGCACGCTGACCGCGACTCACGTTCTGGACACAGGCCTCTCTCCTCGGCTCGACGATTGCTCCTTTGTGCGGAGGCATTGCGACGCATTACGCCTCCTGGCGCTATGCTCAGTGGGGACTGTTCTTCATGGGCATTACAGCGTTCGTTCCGGTAGCACTGTGGCTCCCGGAAACCCTAGACCCAGAGAAGCTCGACAGGATCAAGGCGGAAGGGGCAGGTTTCAAGCTCCTCAACCCGTTTGCGAGCCTCGCACTTCTGCGCAGTCCGAATATCTTCGTTTTGGTGAGTCATTGGCGCGATCGTTGTCCTCGTACCACTATTGAACTCGATCCCAGACAATTGCCGGGACGGCTGCTCTGATCACCGACTTCGGTAAGTTGTCCAAATCCCATGATTAACGTTGCACCTAGCTAACCGGTTCCAGTCATGATGGTTCCTCTTGCCTACACGGTTGTGAGTTCACGACGAAGCTGATTCTATCACCGTGGCTAAGCTAACCCGAAGTCAGGGAGTGCAATATGGCATAACGAACGAGGCCATCGTAGGAGCGCTCTTCCTTCCTCTGGGCCTGGGGAACATCAGTGAGTTTCTCCGTCTCCTGTGGCGCACGACGCGACATTCACCGCTTTTGATCCCAGTCGGTGCTCCTCTCGCGGGGCATATGGCTGATAGGGCCGTCGTCTCTTGGCGTAAGCGACGGGGTGGTGTCTGGGTCCCGGAGGACCGTCTCCGCGCCACGTTCTGGGGAGCGGCGCTCTTTGTCCCAGGGTCGATTCTCGCAACGGGCCTGACGATGAAGTACGTCAAGGGAATTCCGGGGATCTGCCTCATCATCGTCTGGCTGTTCATGAACGGCATAGGGGTGAGTAGACTGCTTGTCGTCTGGCGCGTCCATAGCCGTACGGTGCTGAGTCCTAGCCCACGTGCGTAGGTGGACATCGTCTTGACCCCCAGCTCTTCGTACTACGTCGACATTCTGCACAATCGCAGCGCAGAGACCATGGCCGCTAGCTCGTACGTCTCGCTCCTATCCCTCATGTCGTACGCGCTGAATCAGCATACATGCAGCTCGTTCCGTGCACTGATCGCGGCGTTCGTGACGGCGGGCACGCTCCCCCTTATCGAATCAATTGGCGTCACAGCAACGAACGCACTGTTTGCGTTCATTGCGTGGCTAGGTTTCGGGTGCGTCGCTTTCACTGAACGGCTTCTTATACTCCTAGGTTTCTGACACTACGGTTAACAGGCTAATTCTGTTGACGATCCGTTATGGGGACCGCATGCGGGCTTGGCAGGACATTGGCTACACCACCACACGAGACACCTGTTAAGGTGTACGACGACATTCACGACCATAACAAGACGGCAATTATGTCGAGCATCAGGAATAGATGGCCCTGCATCAATCGGGTGTCCGGATGCGCGGCTGGCCTCACAGACGAAAGCACCCCCGGGCCTCCCATTATGCCGCATAGACGGGGCACGATTTTATCTTCGTTCCCTAGCCATTATACTTCGCTGTCAGTGTCAAGAGTGTCAAGTAGACATTTCTCAAAAGGCTTCTGATGTTCCTGGATATGTCTCTCTTTGACCAATGCATAATAACATTGGCAAATCGGATTGTTTGTATGGCCACAATTTATGACGTATCAATACAGGTGAGACTCCGCGCGGCGCTGCGTGTATCGTTATGAATATAGACGCGTTGTCCGCTTCTACAATATCGGACATGTTAACAATCATGTGCAAGGCCAGAGTTCCGAGAGCCCAGATTCGCTAAGGCAAAGGCCGGAAAGCCGCGTAAGGAGAAAAGTCTACGACATAGTCACAAGCCGAGTCACGGGTTTCCAGCAGATCGCAGACCAGGAGGAGCAGAGAGGTCCTGAGGGCCGATGTGCTGCATGCCAGTTCGGACACCAGAAGAAGGCTGCCCAGGTCCAGCTCCAAGTCCAAGCCCAGGGACGGGTACGGGTGCGGATCCGAACGTATGTCCGGTGCGTCCTCCCAGGTTCATTCCAGAGGTAGTAGGTGCACCATGTCCCATGATTACCGGGCTGCCCGGTCCACTCCTTGTAGGTATCGCATCTGTGCTGACGTTCGCGTTGAGGTTCCCGCCCCAGCTCGGCGCGCTCGCCCCGAGACCCAGCCCAGGACTGTTGCTGAAAACGGCGGGGCCTGTTTGCGCGCGCCATTTCCCAGTTTGCATGCACAGCTTAGCGTGCTCGAGGAGACCGCGATATAGCGTGCTGTTGAACCCGATGCACTGGAGGCCAATGCAGGCGACCTTGAGGGCGCCGACGGAGTAGAGCTGACCGGTCTCGTACAGATTCTGCGGGGAGGTGTTTTTACGCCCCACAAGGGTTTCTTTGATCAGGACTTGCGATGTCTGGACGCGTCGGAGGTGAGTTAGCACGCGGAGACCCTTGCGGTGGAGAGAGGGGATTTACCTCTTGGGAAAGGCATTCCCACTCTTGCGTGCACAGGTCGTCTAGGCGGAACGACTTGTAAATCCCCGCATAGTACCACTTTCCATCCTTGTTGTAGAAGCACTCTGTGTATACAATGGCCGTGTCGTTAAGAGCCAGCGAAGAAGATAGGGAACAGCTTACCGGTCGGCTTATCGAGCTTGCTAGACATGTCGACGACAGACCACCGGTGCGCGGTGCTGACGCGCGGATTGGTACTACACTTGAACGCGGGGGTGAGGAAGTACCCGTGCTCCTCGCGCTCCGGGCACCACGTAGTCGTTGATTGTTGGAAGACGCGGTAATTTCCCAACCTGATTATATGCGCAAGGTTTGCTTAGAAAGTGACGGGAGAGGTACGTACTGCATTCGCAGAAGCTAGAAGGGCGTCATGTTAGCCCGAGAACGCTGCGTGAAGAAGAGGGTACGTACTCCGGAAGTTGTACTGACGACGTCGTGTAGGGTATAGGGCGTCGGTATGAAAATAGGAGTCAAGGAGTCGTCAGGAATATCAGAGGGAAGCGGGAGGGACGCAAGAATGGCGTATCTAGCTTCAATCTTCTCTGTGGTGCTCACAGATGGCAGAGCCACCTACTCAAGCACGTCAGTCAGGACACGGGTCTCACAAGGGGCGAGAACGCGTACGGATCGCTCGCCCTCGAGCGGCGTCCACGGCGATTCGGGAGCGTCGAAGTCTCTCAGGCTTGGAGTTACACAAGCAGTCATTGGGCCCGGCAGAAGAGCGTGCCACTGACTATTGACATTGGCAGAGTCTCTGAGGGCCACCAGAGGGCCGGTGAGGGCTTCCTCTGGAACCTTCATCACTGTTCCAATGATTGACTCCAGCTGCTGGTAAATGGCCTGTGCGGACGTAGCTTTGATAACTGGCGGGTGATCAGATAAGTAGATAGGGCAGACCTTGTAGGTGTTTTCAATCTCGCTGACTGTCGGTCTTTCATGTCCCTCTGAGAGCTTCAGGGACGCAAGCTTGTTCTCGATCGCCTTTAAGTATCCCACGAGTTGCCTGCCAACTTCGCCTGCTCCTTCTGACTTGACACTCATGCTCCCCCTACACAGGTTCTCCTTGTCGGCGCCATGGTCGTCTCGCTTTGCGGCGCGATCCAGAGCACGCTGGAGGGCCTCCTTCTCCTCTTGGAGGGCGGCCAGCGCTTCGGTTTTCTGGCGGACGGACGCACACGCCTCGGCCAGACGGCTCACAGTTGCGTCGCGAGCGTTCAAGGCCTCCCGCACCCGCAGCCTTTCGAGCCTAATCACCATTTCGCGTTCTGTTGGGTGTACACTTTCCGACTGGGTAGGTCGGGTCAGTTCTTCCACACAAGGGAGAGGACGACAGAAGTTACGTTTTCCATCCCCATCTCGGTCAGCAGCCCCATGGGGGGTTTATGAGGGAAGATAGCGGATATATCGAGCGTTGTGTCGCGCGCGTGATGATGGTTGGAAGTCAAGGGTGGCAACTCGTGGCGAGCAACGATCGTACGCACTGCCACCTATGCCTTGTTGGATTCAATAACCTCAACTGTATTGCGAGTGAGCAAACTCAAGCCAGCTCAAGCATCTTCTGACGGTACGCCGGCTTGAAACAGTACTGTTGACGGACGGCTCATGCAATGAAGATTTACGGCTGTTCGCTGCGGGTGAGGCCGCCCTACATAGTCATCCCCGGACAGTACTCAAGCCCCCAACACTCATCTCATCTTGCGCAGATTTTCGTGGAAATCTATGAGATGCGGTCATTCACACTTGCGGGACTATGCGTTCGATTGGAGCAAAGTAGGCTGCGCCAGTACACGCGTGCCAAAAGTGGAGAGGGTGCGTTCGTGTGTCCCCCTCAGAAGTCGCGCCGCCGCGGGCATCAATGATCATTACCGGAGACCATTTCCTAGATACGGCTCGTCCACAGACGCATCCTAGTCTGAAGCGAGCCAATGAAGCTGGAGGATGAGGCCGACGATGGCGGTCAAGAGCCGAATCCGGGACAGACGCCATCTATTCGACCTTCCCACAGAACTCATACCTATCGAGCCTCTTCGTGCTCAGCCCACTCCGCCGGGTCGACGCGACGAGCCTCGCTCTACCTCTCCCCCGCCCCTCCCCTTGGCGTGCACCGCTCGCACCGCGACACGCGGCCTCGTCCCGGGCGGCGGCGCGTACGTCTTCGCGTTCCCCGGTCCGGCGGCGGTGGCATCCCAGCTGCTTGAGGGATACAGGGATTTACGGCTCCCCGCAAGCGGCGCTCGAGAACATGCCTCTCGCGCTGCTCCAGCACGCCCCCCGGGAGCTGCTCGAAGGCCTGCCGGACTTTTCGTGCTGAAGGCAGAGGACGAGTCGGATGTTCTGCAGGATGAGTTCCTGCAGGCGCCGGAGGAGTGGGAGGAAGCTGCGGTACGAGATCATGAAGGGGGCATAGCCATGTTGGCCCTGCGCTGTTGCTGTTGAGCGGGATGGGCAGGAGTGGAGGAGGAGGAGGTTGCGAAGTGGATGAAGTCGAGGGTCAAGGGGATGTACGCGGCGCCGGAGTAATGTCAATTTGCAGGAATGAAGCATCAAGCCATGACTGTCAGACCCTTCGTCGCCTCTGCATGGAGTGAATTACAATGATCGTAGTCATTCCAGACTGTACCTATATCCTCATAAGGTCCCGAAGTAACTTAAAGCAGGCCGCCGCCGCATCCGGCAGCGCCTACGCCAGACGCGTTCCGGAAGTCCCCAAACGTCCAGTCAAAGCAATCCTGCCCCGCGCCCCATCAGCACCCGTCGCATCCGCCCACTCAAGCGTAAGCGCAAACACTCACCACACAGTCCTCCTCCGACCTCGCCTCCGGCACGCTCCCGTTCACGCCGTTCCCCCTCCAGTCCTTCTTGTCGTCCGCCAGGACGCCCTCGATGAGCGCGCTGATCCCGTGGTGGATGATGTTCGCGCTCCAGCCCAGCTGCGACACCGTGTCGTACTTGATGGTCTGGCCGAGGTGGCAGCGCGTCTCGAGCGCGACCCCGACGGTGTTGCACGTCGAGCCGATGCCCGTGCAGGTGCCCATCGGGATCGGGTCGCCCGTGTTGTACACGTGCGTGACGTGCTGGACGGAGGGCTGTATGCGCGGTTCAGCTCGAGATTACAGACGGAGGTCTCTGAGGAGGGGGGAGAACGTACTGGGGAGGGGAGGTGGAGACGCGACGCTGCGAGACGCTCAGCAGGGGCTTCGAACGCGACGACTGGTACGCCGAAGGTCACTCCGACGAGCGAGGCTAGCGCGCCTCCGAGAGAATGACCTATAGAGGATCAGAGATCGACAGGTGCCCCCTGTGTGATGCGCATTAGGCGAACGTACCGATGAGCCAGATGTTAGAATCTGGGTACATGTAAGTGATGTTGTTGTACAGGTTCTAAATTGTGAAACACTCAGCAACTAGCATGAACGTGCAGTAATAGGGGACACTCACGATCCCGACCGAGTAGAACAAACTCTCCTCCGTCAAGCTCTTCTCTAAACACCCCTGATCGCACCGTTTCTCACCCTCGTAGCATCCGCACACCGTGCTCCATGTCCGACTGACGCGCGCGCAGCAACAGGAGAAGAGGAGGTTGTCGTTGAGCTTGTCCTTGGTCTGCGTCGGGCCGCCTGCCCCGATGGGCCAGAAGATGGAGGTGCCCTTGATGGAGACGACGACGGTGGAGTTGTCGGGCGTGGAAAAAATGTGACCGCGGAAGCCGTCTGCGTCTGGCTCCCAGCCGAACGGGTAGGTCTATACGCAAGAGGGGAGTGTGAGTGAGGTCAGCGGTTGATGATGAGTTGGCGGGCAAACACACGATGTTGTAGTTTGGGCCGATGTCGTACCAGTCTGACTTGCCAGGCTCGGTATATGCGTTATTGGCCATCTTGGCCAGCAAGAGCAACGTCTCTCGATCCTCTATGTCCGGACCGTCTACCTCGGAGACGTCCCATGGCACGGTGGCACCGCGGAAGCGAGCGCTTTGAAGCAGAGCTTGCGAGACAGGCTTGAATACATTGGTCTTCTTGGTTCTGACGCGGACATCACCCATGGTGAAGACAGCGTCAGGCAAGGTATCGGAGAAGACGACACGAGATGAATTGGATAGAGCATGCTGGTGGCGTAGCTCGAAGCGTAGATTACGATGAGAGGGAACCTGAAGGTGAGGTTGCCACAGCAAAGAAGCAAGAAAAAGCTGCAGCGTGGTAGGGAGTAGATTGTAGCTGAGCATGATGAGTTGTGTCTATGGAGAGCAGACGATGGAAGCGAAGTGGCTGTCGAACTAGCTTGAAGCTTGAAGCTTTGAAGGAGCTCCTGCCCGGGCTGCCCCAAACTGGCCGCCGACTCGGAGCAGCCGCGCCGCTTCCACGCCTCCGCACCCCGCTTACGTCAACGTCACACGGTCAGGTGCTTGTGACTAGGCTCACGTGGAGGGCGCGAAGCAGGCGTTGGCATTCGACCGTTTCAGCCAGCAGCTTGGCTACCCCGAACGGCGGCCAGCATCCCTGATTAGGTGAGGAGTCCGGAGTACATGACTGGGGTGACTTGCTGCACTCCGCGAAGGCTCTAAAGCAGGAGATACACTCGAGACTTCATGCGAAAAGTGGTCGGACTGGTTCATTGGCCGAGCCGCTAATGATATCCTTGCTATACTTACTCTTACGTCGAGAACGCCAGTCTGATATACTTTCACAGGGCCCTGTGGTGATCAACTCTACGGATTAGGAGACGGTTCCCTTCGTTTCATCCCCCTCATACGAATGTGCATGCAAGTGAGTAAACTTCAGTCATTATAGAATGTCTCGAAGACCTCAAAAGCTGACAAGCCTCAGGTAATCCTGGGATTTTGCTCAACGTAGGACTATCGAATATCCGCTTGACATGGCGACGCAGAGGGCACCTTCGTTGCTATCCGCCTCCCTCGCCTCGGGGTCTAGTTTGGTCCTTCTTCAGCTATTCTCTCGCGTTGTTACGTTTGTCCTTAACCAAGCTTTGGTCCGACTCGTCTCTCCACAAGTATTTGGAACGACCTCCATTCAATTTGAACTTCTGCTATCGACCATCCTCTTCCTATCTCGCGAGGGCGTCCGAAATGCACTCCTCCGGGCATCGTCTCAGAATCCGTCTGACCGCGACACAACTAGCCCGCTAGTGACCAACATCTCTTTGTTGCCGATCGCACTGGGCATCCCCACCGCTATCGGCTCGGCCCTCGTCTACCTTGGCAGCAGCTCGTCAACAACGTCCTCTCAGCCGCGTTTCCAGATTAGTGTCTTGCTCTATGTTCTGGCCGCCTTCTTCGAGCTGCTATCTGAGCCTTTGTACATCCGTACCCAGAACGAGCTTCGGTTTCATGTCCGTGTCCGGGCGGAGGGTACAGCTGTCATGTTGAAGACGATCGTTACCTTCCTAGTGCTGGTGGCTGCGCCAGAAGACTATGCTCTGGTTGCCTTTGCTCTCGGACAGACCGCGTATGGTCTGACGATGCTCATTTCATTCCTCATCGCTTGCCGTGACAACCTCGACTTGGCTCCCAAGCAGGTAGCCATCACTGTGAAAGATCAGTACGTCTGTCTCTCCTCTAGCCCAGCGTTTTCAGTCACTGAGAACTTGGTCAGCACGGAGAAGAGATACTTCGATCCTGCTCTTTTCAATCTGTCGGTAGCGATGACGGGGCAGTCGCTCGTCAAACACTTCCTCACCGAAGGCGACAAGTTCCTCGTCTCACGTCTTAGCCCGCTGGCAGACCAAGGCGGCTATGCCGTCGCCGCCAACTACGGCTCGCTCGTCGCCCGCATCGTCTTCCAGCCCATCGAAGAGACAGCTCGCGTCTTTTTCTCCAAGACGCTTGCCTCACCCGTGCCGCCATCTCCGTTCCCCAAATCCAACCATTCTGCAAAACACAAAGAATACCTTCAGACCGCCTCAGCAGTCCTCACAACCCTCCTCCTCGTCTTCACCCACCTCCTCCTTCTCCTCATAACCTTCGCCCCGCCCTACCTCCCGCTCGCGCTCTCCCTCGCGCTCCCGCGCAAGTACCTCTCCACCTCCGCCCCGCGCATCCTCGCCGTCTACGTCTACTACATCCCTGCGATGGCCTACAACGGCGTCCTCGAGGCCTTCCTCGCCTCCGCCGCCTCCCCCTCCGACCTCCGCGCCCAGGCGCGCTGGCTCCTCGTGTTCTCCGCCCTCTTCGTCGCCGCCGCCGTCGGGCTCGCACGCAGCGCGGGCCTGGGCGACGCGGGGCTCGTGTGGGCGAACGTCGGAAACCTGGCGCTGCGCGCGGCGTACGCGTGGGCGTTCGCGAGGCGGTTCTTTGTCGAGCGCGGGGCGGGGGATGCGCTGGGCCTGCGGAGGGTCGTGCCGCCCGCCCCCGTCCTCGCGGCGTTCGCCGCTGCCGGGCTGGCGGTGCGCGTGAGCGCACGGGCGTACCAGGACGCGCCTGTGAACGTCTTTGCGCAAAGGGGCCATATTGCGGTAGGGGTCGTCGGGGTGCTGGGCTGTCTGACCACTTGGTAAGTGCCTGAACCTGGGGAAAGCTTCGGGCGGGTGGGCCTCCGGGACGCTGACAAGACCTTGCGCCACAGCGTTGTATGCGAGCGGCGAAGCGTTATGCGGCTCGTCGACTCCCTGCGGAAGGCGCGCTAGGAGTCACGTCAAGGGGTCCTAGGTCTAGTGGAGGAGGCTATGCTAGGCCCGAGAATTGTGTGTACCCCAGGCCGCCCGGGGGGCTAAGCAGCGGTGTCAACGGGGCCAGTCCCCGGAAAATGCATCATTGTCCAGCTTGCCGAGACGTGCGAACTTGCGCACACAAAGCACAGCGCAAGCGTGTTCATTTTGAGTACGGCGATCCTCGCGGCGGCGGGAAGCGTCGGGGTGGTCGTCGGCGGTATCACTTCCGGTGCTAGCCAGCTCGGCGATTATCGCTGCGGCGTCCATCGGCAACTTGAATTATGGCCTCTGAGTAGCGTACTCGGCCCCGTGAGCGTCTTCAGACGCTTCCATGTCGCACTGTACCGCAAGTTGATGACCGGTTGGCGCGGTATGGCAACGCCGGCAGCTGAAGCAGGTACTGTCCAGGACAGACGCGGCGATGGACATAATCTTCGGCGTTGGTACTGGATGACGCTGTTGCCGTGCGGGGGCGCCAACGATCTGCTGGCTTTGCGCCGGAATAGAAGGTACATTGACGGTAGAGTAGTAGGAACGATGTCAGAGAGATAAACAACGAGAGAGATAGATAGCGATAGCGAGTTTGAAAGCTTGGAGGAGAGAGCGCCGTCGACTCAGCCGACGACGACACCAGCGGAAGTCTGTCATTCCGACGCCATCGGGACTACGAGAACGATGAGAACGATAGAGAAGTTGCCGAGAACACGAAGAAGAGAGCGAGACGCCGGAGAACTGTGCAGTAGAAGGACGAAACCGCAGCAGCAGCTGCAGACTCCGAGAGATACGGGGGATATGAACAGATAGGGCGGGAAATTGAAGCCCTGGTAGGAGGAATAATATGGTAAGTTAAGAGAAAATACGTTAGGGTGAGGGTGAGGCATGCATCTCGGTGTTCAGCGGGATTAAGAGGGATATGGGCGTAGTGAGAGGCATCACATCTGCACTTCCAGTTCGGCCATCCACATGTTTCGGGCGGTGGGGAGCACGCGCACCAACCATAGCTTATCTATGGTAATGCCGCGCTGCCCACGGTCGCGTGCGATGGTCCATTCGTCGCCCTCCCCGGGGTTCGACGAGTTGGATTTCTTCTTCTGGAGGAGGGGGAACGTCAGCTTGGAACACTCTAGTACAAAAGCGCAAGACACATACAGCCTTTTTCTGCATGAACTTCTGGATGCTTTTGCAAACGCGCTTAGCGAGTTCGCCCCGAGTGATGAACGCGCCGTCCTCCCGCACAGAGACGTACGCTCCAGCTTGGTCGTATCCAGGCCACTGTTATACGGAGAAGAGAAGAGCACTACACTAAGCCTCTGATAGATGATATGGTGACACCTGGAACTCACATCGATGACGAGCCGGAACTGGCGGACACCCGTCTGCTCGAATACACGCTCGTTGTGCCCATCCACCGTCGCCTTGCCGCTAAGGACATCGCGCACGCTAACTCCGGCTTTACGATGGACCTTGAAGGCCACCGCAAAGGTAGCGTTGTGCGTAGACACGAGCTCCAGAGGCTGAGGAACCCGAACACGAGTGAGAGAAGGCCCAGTCGGTCTCTTCGGCGACATGGTTGACTCGGCAGTCGAGGAGCTGGGCGGGTTGTGGACTGGCGGTAGGCTCGGTAGAGGCCTCATCGCAGGCGTGTCCCCTAAAGTCATACTGTAGAAACTCGACGGAGAGGCAACCATCGGCGAATACATGTTTGTAGGGAGATGATTCGGGGTGTATGGGAAAGGGGAAGAGTATGTTGTTGCCGTCGAGGACATTGGAGAAGGAAGTGCCGCATATGGACTGCCATACGGTGAATGAGGTATTGAGTGGGTGGAGACCGCAGGGGACACCCGCAAGTTAGAATGATGTTTCGGAGGAGACCATGTCTCCGACAGCTCTGCTATGGAAGAAAGGGGCGTGAAGAACGTCGTCGAGGCCGGAGAGTGCAGTGCGCTATTCGGAAAGTCCGGGGTAGGAGGTGTGATGACATCTTGATACGGAAAATTGTGGGGGAGTTGGTCGATGGGGAGGGGAGACAACATCTGAGGGTCGGAGTCAGTGATGTTATCAGGAGTCACTCGTGCACACGTACAGGTTCATCTTGAGGAGAAGGCTGGGGTGCTTGAACGAAGTACTGTGACGATTGCGACGAAGGCAGGTTGCAATGCCGCGGCGCCTCTGGAGAGAAAGCGTTGGCAGTCGAATGGGGTGCATCCGTATACTGCACGTTACATTGCTGGTAATGCTGTTGTGATTCGGGCTGCGATTGCGATTGAGCGCGGTGAGAGGAGTGGGACTGGTACTGGGGCCACTCCTGCTGAAACATGTGCTGCAAGTACAATGGTAGCCGTCAGAAAATTGTTCATTACGTCACGGAGATAAACTATAGAAGATAGACTCACTGAGTCCCACGCTTGAGGGAAGGATGGAGGGTCCGAGTGGAGGAACTGGTCACCAGCATTGCGACGAGAGAAGTCAACTTGCGGAACGGGGATGCTCATCAATGGCGCGTGGAAGCCGAGGCCGAGGCAGAAGGCGTGGTCAACGCAGCGGCTCTTATACATCTCCGTATCGCGGAGGGAACGTGGACGAGCTCGCCCCAGTCGAGACGCGTGGCGATGAGGGCTATCACGACCTCCCACAGCTTCTGTAGACTTGAAAAGTATGAAGAGCGTGACGTCTACGCCGTGCAATGGCTTGATGTGAGAGATTCTGGTGGAAAGAGTCGACCATGATGAAAACACGAGTGGGGAGGCCGGACGTACCAGTCTGATCTGTGTCTTTTTTCCAGAAGGCGCATAGCACCGAACGGAGACTCCGAATAAGGACATGGGTGGGGGCCAGAAGTAATCATTACGATATCATGGCCGAGCACTGGCTGTGTATTGGCGCCTGGCCGGTCACTGCGAGGCTGTACGGCTGTGAGCGACGTTTCTATCTCGAATTCGACGATGCAGCGAAGTCGTACCGTAGACGTCCAACTCTGCCGCATGTCCGACTGCGCGACTGCTTACAAGAGCGAGCGACACCAGACACCGGAGCTCCCACCGGGAGAAAGGCTGATGAAGGCTGTGGTTGTCTGTACCTTTCCCACCCGATATTGAACGCCTTCGGTCAATACGCGCCTCGCATGATGGTCTCCTCTCAACAGCTGCTGGGAGATGGGGAGATCTGGCCCAGATGCTGAGCATGGCCACTGCACTACACAGGTAACTCTTCTTTGACCTAGAAGACGGCCTCGACCGCTGCAAACATGAGGCAAATGCGTGTTATTTTGTGGATACATGCGAACGTACTGAGCATCGCTATGCGCAATGGCTTGGTTTTCGTACCTGTGGTGTCGTCATATCTGAACAAGAAGGTCAGATTACCGGAATCGTGCGCACCCACAACCGGAGAGATGTTGAGAGTGTCACCGGTAGGAGTCTCGTAAGACAATCCGGATCAACTGGGAAGCATTCACCGAGAGATGAAGATTGAGAGCTTCCATATGCACGGTAAACCTCAAGGACATCCGAGCTGGAAAAGGAGGCAAACGCCGTTGGCCCTTGTCCCAAAACAAGACCGACTGGAAGGCGGTAAGTAATCAAAGCAATGGGCACTTCTTGCGTCGAAGCGGAAACAGTGCGCGTATAATAGTTGGTATTCGGCTCAGCTCCATCTTACCGCATTCACCTTGTGTCTCGAAATTGAAATAATGAATGACATTCGAGATGCTTGAAGGCTTGGGAGATTGAACGAGTTCGCGCACATTTCGGAGACTTGTTCTTTTGCACAAACGACGTGTTGAGGGAGGGTGCAGCATGGTCGATGAGGTTTGGAATATGGCTGTCTGAAGTCAAGTTGTGAGCCTCTGACGTCTGCCTCACCGGCGAAACAGCGATGTAAGGCTGTATAGGGTTTTCTTGACGTCTTTGAACGGCCCCTAACACAGGTTGTTACACCAAATTCAAGTACTGATAAGAAGATTATGATGACGCATCGAAAGTGGTCCCACTTCAGCGTCTGCCGCCCATCTTCTCCACAGGCGCCGCTAGTCCCACCGGCGACAACGACGACAGCAGGCTGCAGCGACGACCTCACGGCTGCCCCCACGACTATCTCTCCCAATGCCTCGTGTCCCGTCCGTCTCCCCCGTAACTGGGAATCCCGTTCCACCTCACTATGTTCACACCACCGACGCTCAATTCGTCGACAACGCCGGTCGGACGGTCCTCCTGCGCGGCATCAACCTATCCGGGGCGGACAAAGCTCCTGTCGGCTCTCCCTCGCAGAAGCTCGAGGGCTTTTGGGAGGCAGGGGAGAGCGGCGAAGAAAGCTTCGTCGGTCGTCCGCTGAACCTCGAAGATGGGTCGGCGGACGTACACCTAACACGCCTCAAGGGGTGGGGGTTCAACATGCTCCGGTATGTTGTTACCTGGGAATCGCTAGAGCACGCTGGCCCGTAAGTGTCATTCTACAGTCTTTGTAACTGCATATCTAAGCCATTCACAGTGGCAAATACGACTGCGAATTTATGGACTACACAGTCCGAGTACTCCGGAAAGTCAAGGAGTGTGGATTCCGAGTGTATATGGACCCGCACCAAGACATCGTGAGCGTCTAGCTTAACTTCATAATTGGTGTCGTGCGGAAAAGGTCACGTCTATGAAGCCGTGTCCCTGTTTGACGAGGCCACAATGCATGGAAGTGGATCACGGTCGTTGCGCCGAGGACCGCCTGTCTGAGCGAGGATCATGTTTTCCACTTCCATTGCCTCCTTGACGGCAGTGAAGCTGCTGCGATATACTGAGGGTACCGGTGACAACGTCACCGGCTCGTTGAGCCGTCAAGGCTATTATACTCTCCCTACGTCCTCGTGACTAGCTCTGAGCCAGGGAATCCTGAGGTATCATACGAGTACGCTCCTTTAGGACGACTCGCAGATGCAGGGCGGGACACCTGTACCAAAGGAATCTTATGCTAATAGAGCACATTCGTAGTGGTCACGATTCTCTGGTGGTTCTGGTGCACCTTACTGGACCCTACTCGCATGCGGCCTCAATCCCCACAACTTCACCGCAACTCTAGCGGCCGTCATCCACTCGGAGTATTCCCCCAGTTCTGAGTCTACGCCATCAGAACTCCCTGCTATGATCTGGAGCACGAACTACGGCCGTCTCGCATCACAGACGCTATTCACCCTTTTCTTCGCCGGCCGTGAGTTTGCGCCCAAATGCGTCATCGACGGCCAGAATATCCAGGACTACCTTCAGTCCCACTACATCAACGCCTTTGCACAGCTCGCGCAGCGCATACGCGACAACGCGAGCGATCTCCTGGACGAGTGCATCCTCGGGTGGGATAGCATGAACGAGCCCGCTGAGGGTCTCTGTGGCTATGACAATCTGAACGAAGTGCCGACGAAGCAAGGGTCCGTGCTGAAGAAGGGTCCTTTCCCTTCTCCTGCGCAGTCGCTGCGTCTTGGCATGGGTACGGCGCAGACCGTCGAAAATTGGGTGTTCTCCTCGATGGGCCCCAAGAAAGATGGGACGGTCACGATCGACCCCAAAGGCAAGAAGATGTGGGCGGATCCCGCTACCGAGCCCAATGGCGTTCACCCCAAATGGGGCTGGAAGCGGGACCCAGGCTGGAAGCTTGGGACGTGTATCTGGGCCCAGCACGGTGTCTGGGATGTCGACACAGGCGAAGTCCTCCGACCTGAGTACTTCCGCCGTCACCCGAACGGTGAAGAACTCAAGTTCATCGACGACTTCTGGCGGCCGCACTGGCAGGAGTTCGCGACGCGGATACGTGAGCTGCATCCGGAGGCAATCCTCTTTGTTGCCCCCCCTGTCTTCGTACCCCCTCCGCAGATCAACGAGCGCTACCTGAAGGGCCGCTGCTGCTACTCGACGCACTACTACGACGGCCTTACGCTCGTCACGCGGCACTGGAACTGGTTCAACGCCGACGCTCTAGGCATCATTCGCGGCAAATACTCCTCGCCTGCGGCTGCCGTCAAGATCGGCGAGGGCGCAATTCGCAAATCGCTACAGGAGCAGCTAGGCTACCTGAAGGCCGACGCGAAGATCTTGGGCGCGTACCCGACGATCATCGGTGAGATTGGCATCCCATATGACATGGACGGGAAGAAGGCGTACGGATACACCGACGGCGGCAAGTACAAGGGCGATTTCTCGAGCCAGCAGAAGGCAATGGATGCGAGCATGAACGCGGCAGACGGACCAAATGCGCTCAATTACACCATCTGGAACTACTGCCCGGACAACTCCCACGAGTGGGGCGACGGGTGGAATATGGAGGATCTGAGCGTGTGGAGCCCCGATGACCTTCGACCACAGACTCGGTTCAGGATGGGCGCGAACGATTCTTCGTCCGCCTTCCCGCCGAAGAAGGGTCAGACTGTCACGGTCCACTCTGCTACCGCTTCTAGCGTGTCCCTGAACACCCTCACTCCTGGTGACAGCCCCGCTGATGACGCAACTGTGTTTCCGAAGGGAACGGCGCGCTCATCCTCGGACTGGGCCAACGTTTACGACTTCCTGACGGATGGTACGCGCGCTCCGAAGGCGTTCATTCGTCCGTTCCCCACAGCTGTAGTCGGCGTGCCCACTAACATCCAGTTCGACATCTCAAAGGCGGAGTTCAAGCTCACCGTGCAGGTCCGTTCAGAAGACGCACCGAAACGCGACCGTCTTGGGCTGTCCACGGGGCCGGGTAGTCCGGACGAGGCAGAACTTCCCACCGAGATCTTCGTACCTCTCGTTCACTATGCCACCGACAAGCTCGTCCACGATATCCAAGCGGAGCAGTCCCCTGTTTCGGACTCGGTGACGCCGAGCATCGCGGATGGACCTATGTCCAAGTCAACGGACAAGCTCTCTCGTTCCTCCGGCGACTTCGCGGCGGACCAGTTGCGATCCCTCTTTGAGCCCTCTCCACTGCTCGCACTCAATGTCGATGTCTCGGAAGGGCGGTGGACCGTCGAGGCGCAGACCCTGAAGTGGTGGTACCCCGTACCTGCCAGTGGCTCTCGCGAATACACTATCACCATCAAGCGTGCCGGAGGCGTCATCAAGACTGCCGACGCGACGTCCTCGGGTTCGTGTTCTTCGCTCCTCAGCTGGTGCTCGGATGCATGCACCATCGTGTAGAGGCTATGCCTCGCCGTTCTTTCCTCCCCTGAGACCCACTTCTTTCTGGAGTTAGCATTTTGGCTTGCTGGGACAATCAATTGTACTATAGGACATTTCTTGGATGGATACATATATCATGTGCAGATGGCGATCGTGGCTGCAAACCTGTGTCGCCGATCACACCTCACGCGAGGCATTCTTGCATGTTCAAGTAAGTTATGCTCCTGCAGAAAGGCACAGAATGCTTGCCTGTTCGCAGCCTTACACCAGTGCGATTCTGATGGTTGTGACCTATCCCGTGACAACTCAATGTACCTCCCGCAGACCTAGTACGTACCCTCCGTTTGAAAGCACTTCGCTCAATTAACCAGTTCTTCGCGCTGTCGTGCAGGTCCTTCGAACATTCCATATCGGAATACTCCATGAACGATGTTAAATTGTGGTAGCAGTTTCACGCACACTCTGTCTATGCACGCCCCACATGCCCTACATCTCACGCACTATCGCGACGATATCCCCTCTTCCTATACCCAGCGCGATATCCATACCCCCTTCTACTATCCCCCGACCTACACCTAACGATTCGACCCACTCTGCTTCTGTCCCCGCTTCCAGCTCCGTCGCGTGCGCGCCTCGACTGATGACGCCTATCGCGTCCCGCGAGTTGTTGCGCTAGATCTATGGACGACATCACAATCTCCGCAAACCAGCCACTTATCCAAGGACAGTATCTAAGGCTATTACATCCTCATCCGCTACACTCGCTATAGCCATGGGCGGCGGCTGTGCGACTGGGTGGCGTCCTCCTGTTTGCTCCTGCCACACGTTCTCCGCGAGGCGGACAAGGCACCGTCGTTTGCAGGCGCCTATCAAGAACAGACTCAAGTTTCCTCCGAGCTCTCATCAAGGTACGTTCTGGCAGAATTGGCTTTATGCCTTTCATCTAACAGCACTGCTACCTAGCCCGAATCTCTGGGATCACCCACAACATGGACGGGGTTCCCGATCTCGCTGATGTTGACGTTGAAGGATTGCCATTCCCCGAGCTTTCCACTTCCTTGCCTGTCGAGGATCAGGACGCCCTCCGCAGGCTCGCTATTCGTGATGTACCAGGCCGGGCTCTTGCGATGGCGGACGAGTATCGGAAAGCATCGTCCGTCTCGTAGAGCATATTGCTACGGCGAATTCCTTGCACAACTACGCCACATCCCCCATCCACAGTCTTCCCACCGAGATCCTCATGAAGATCTTTGGTGTCGCTTGCAGCACACGGAGAGACTTGGTCATCGCCGGTATCTGCCGTCGCTGGCGCTCCGTAATCCTCGCGATGCCGACGCTTTGGGCCACTGTTCTGACTAACACGGAGTTCGATGTCTCGCACGAACGTCGACTTGACGAATTTCTCCGCATGGTCGCCCCCCGTTGTCACCCTTGCCCTCTCACCATTCATGCTCGATACCTAGCAACAGACCAGCCTGGCTTCTTGAGAGCAGCAATGGACGTTGCCGGAGCTATCTAGAGACGCTAGATGTGGAGTTCTACGCGTATTTGTTGACAAGCCGGAAATTATCCCCCTTCAACGAAGTACTGCATTCCGGTATGCTCCAGCTAAGACGTCTGAAGATCACTGTGTGCGGCGTATCTGCGTCGCAGAATAGGGACCCGGGCAGCATAGAATACGGGGAATCTGACCTGCCGTGTCTCCATCAGCTGGAGATCCCTGCATCCCTGTTCACCTCGGCATGTGCCACCACTACGCTTGAAGCCCTAGTCTTAGACAGGACTTTCGGGGTCAATAGACACATCACATCTGTGCTGTCGAATTGCAAGAATCTTACCTCTTTGAAGCTAGACACTATGGGCGCGGCCTTTCCAAAGACAACCGTCTTGACGGCCGGGTCTATCCATCTCCCTCATCTGCGTTCACTCGTCATATACGCAGGGAACAGCTTAGTCGGCTGTTCTCAGCCAAGCCAGGCAGCCAGAATGAAGCATATACTGGGCTGGCTCGCTTTCCCTCCCTCAACGTCCATCCAACTCCTGCAATACACCGAAGGCGACAGGGAGCGCTTGGACGGATGCGCTTGGCACGCCCTTCTTTTACACCTCTCCCGTACCCGCACCGTTACCCCATACGACCGCATGCATATTAGCTGCGATGAACGATACATTTCTGCGAGGTTTTCGAACGCGGAGAGGGGGGATGTTCATGTCAACACGGTCCTCTCCTTGCTCAAATCGCACCTCGAATGCTTCGAGGAATGCTGCCGCGTCTTACCCATGTCTGACGTGAGCGTCGACCTCCCTCATGCATTCCTCTTCGAGTACTCCCGCACCGGTATGCCAAGTCTATTCAACGGCCTTGCACACCTCCGTCTCCTCACGAGAATCGAGATCTCTCCTCGAACCTGCGGAAGCTCGTTTGTTGGACTCTTTTTGCACTCCTGCGCCACCGCTCCGGAATCCGCGAGGCCTGGCAACATCACCCTTGTCTGGAAGCTCCTCTTCAGAAGGTGCAACAGGGGTGTGCGGAGGCTGGCGAAGATGGTGAGGGACATGGAACGGCACCTCACTGCCAACAGAGGTCATATAACCTGCCAGCGACTCGAGTTGCATGGCATTCTGCAGGTCCGATGGAACCGGAGCCAGAAAACGAAATGGAGCTATTGTGACGACTCGCTCACAGAGGGTCATACTAATCCGGAACTATGCAAGGAGCTGCTTGGGGACAGGGTGGCAGGACTGGCAAAGATGGTGGGAGAGTTAGCGATCCTTTAGGAGGTAAGAAGTGGTATTCGCAAGTTTCGCGACCTCCATTCCATTGCGGGAGTACATAGGAGGTCAATAAATCGGCATCGGCACATAGGAATAGCTGTCATCAGTTACACAGTACACGAACAAATAAGATGGAGCTTGACCCACGACAAGCACTGTGGGCAAGGAAGGTACTGAATGAGGGGGGACAGTCGAGAGCAACGGCCCTAGCCTGAGCAACGTGGCTGAACGCGCGCCATAGTCCATTTTTATGTCATCCGTTGCACTCAGGTCGACAGCTCCGGGAGCTTCAGCTCTCGCTCGTCCGCAACCGCCTAAACTATAGTTCCTCCTGCTCATGTTAACTCAGGACGCAAGAGCGATAACCTTGGCTACGTGGATTGTCTGTCAGCCATATCCTCCGCTACACGCTTTCCTCGCGTAGGCAAGGGAACGGTTCAAGATACACAGCGCTGTGTAACGTCGACCGCCCTTGGGACTCCTCCGATTCCTCTGTACGTCCACGACCATCTCAAGCCATGGCATTGCAGTGCTCTAAAGTGTTGGCTCACTGTAGTCTTGCAATTCCGTTATGTGGCTACTGAGCACCGACCGCGCCGAACTGCACTACTTCTCCCGGACCTTCGACGCTGACGGAGGCTACGCGATCCTCTCGCATACCTGGGAGAAAAACGAGCAAACGTACCAGGAAGTTCGTGCTATCAGCGAACGATGCCGACGCCATCATGCGAATCCCCGAGACGATCCTGAGCTGTCGCCCAAGATCCGCGAGATGTGCATTCTCGCCGAAGAACACGGGTACCAGTGGGCCTGGGTCGACTCGTGCTGCATCGATAAGACGAGCAGTAGCGAGCTTTCCGAGGCCGTCAACTCGATGTATCGGTGGTACTCCGACTGCGAGGTGTGCTATGCGTACCTCGCCGACGTCCCTGGCGACTGTATTCTGGACGCGTCGAACTCCGCCTTCAGAAGGAGCCGCTGGCACACTCGAGGATGGACCCTCCAGGAGCTCGTTGCCCCCGCGCGTCTCTTGTTCATATCTAGCGACTGGACCGAGTTGGGGAACAGAACGACCCTGGCCAACCTGCTACAGGAGATCACAGGGATCGAATCCAGGATTTTCACCAGACAGAAGAGACCTGCCGACTTCTCCATTGCCTCGCGCATGAATTGGGCGTCGAGACGAAGGACGACGCGCGTGGAAGACGAAGCGTACTGCTTGATGGGCCTTTTCGATGTCAGCATGCCGGCCAACTACGGAGAGGGTGAAAGGGCGTTTACGCGCCTACAATACGAGATCATGCGCCACAACTCAGACACCAGCCTCTTCGTCTTTGGAGACGATTTCTTGCCTCGCGGAGACTTCAGCACCCATGGCATCACTCTTGGGCTTCACGTCGATATTTGCGATACATGGCAGTTTCTGTTAGCATCCTCTCCACGTGAGTTTGAGACACGAGTGCACTATACCCCGAGGGTTCGTAGGAGTTCCGTATCAGTAAGTACACCTCATCACGTTAAGCTCGTTGACTAGAGTCTCAACCCCTTGAACCTAGCAGGACAGCGGAGGCGCGTGGGACGGAGCTGAGGCCAGTAGTCCCTTCGATGCCGTAGAGCTCCCTCGGATCTCAATGACCAGTCACGGTGTCAAATTGCGACTTCCTGTTTTCGAGGCCGATGGCATAACTATCGCAGTACTCCTGTGCCAGGACGACAACGATCACTTAGGACTTCTCTTGATGCGAGACGCGTCAGAGGAGGAAGAAGATCCCACGAGACCGCGCTATCATACAGGTTGCCACTGGCGTTCCGACATGCTACGCTCGCCATCATGGTCCATCACTCGTTTGGCCAGGCTTGGACGAGACCTGAACGATCTCCAATTCAACGGGAAGCGCGTCGAGGCGAAGTGGCGAACCCTCTACGTCGTCCCTCGGCCTCCTCAAGGCTTGTCCCCGAGTGCCACTACCACACGACTCACGATCAACTGCGACCCCGATCCCCCATTTCGCTTCCCACACTTCCTTGTCTCTAGACTATTAGCTCTTCGTGCTGAAGTGACTGAGCATCAACCCCATCAGCATCTCATCACGATGACAATATTTCGCCTCGGAGGAGCCGCTGAACAGATATGTCTAGATCTCGGGCTCTGCCAGAATCAACGTGGATATTTCTGCCGCTGGTCCAAGGTTACCATATACCACGACGGGGGTCACCCACAAGGATACGATGACCCTTCTTCTCATTCGTGTTCCCAACATCACGTCGACTTTTGGCCTTCACGTTCTAAGGTGTTCGGTGACGCCGACCGCGCTGTGCGGCTGTCATTTACACCATGCAAACGCTCACCGACGAGGACGCTCGTCGTCCATCTCGAGCTCTTTGGTCGAGTTTACGAGGAGATCCTTCGCGAGGCCGACGTCTCTTTCCCCCCACCGCCCAACCCAGCGAGAATAACGCTTGCACCACCGGCTGTCGACTGTCCTTCATCTCATCAAGCTCAACGGAACTCAAGGCAAGCCTACCACTACCTCCCTCTCCACAGCTTTGCGCCTCACGAGCAGAGTGGAGGGCACGCACATGGGGCTCCTCAGCGCGCGGCACCAATTGTGCAGCCTGTTGGATTATATGCAGCTTCCTTCGCGGGTCACGGGTCTGGAGACTGCTATCCCGCGGCGACGACAGCATCACCGCAGCCGTTTTCCGTGCATCGGGAGGTCGCAATCGATACGGGGGGTCAGAGATCACTCATCCACCCCGCTCCCACACTCCATAAGTAGTCCTTACACCACTCCGGAGCGACTCAGAGTCTCTGCGACTAGGGCTTTGCCGGCGTCGAGGACGCTCTCGTGACAACACCGCTCTTGATTCCCGCCTACCGTCCATCCTTTTCTGCAACCGTAGTATGTATGCGTTTATATCGAAGTATGCTGTGCTGTCTCTGTTTTGCCTCCCACTGTGCCCCAACTGAGAGGTTGCTTTTCATCAGGATCATCTACTATAGGCAGTCAGGGTGAAGTTTGTTTCAAGTCTCTACCGGCTCGAGCAGGTAGGAGGCAAACAAATCTACATGTGGGGAACGGCTGGTATACACAATTTGATGAGACGCGACCTGAATTGTACATGGTCTGATGCAAGTGTTATAAGCGCATTGGACATGAGGAGAATCTAACATTCAAAACGCACCTTAGGCTTCCATCAGAACTCGTCACGGCCTCTCTTGGCTCTCAGTCTGGGTGGATCTTGCACATCCACTCTGAGAACGCCCGGTGCAGCGTTCAATGCGCTCAATATATCGCCCTGTGCTTGCGACCAGTTGTCACGAGGGACACTGAGGACTTGAACGTCCTGTAGTTCGCCTACGCGACCGAGGCGCGTCAGGAGAGGGTGGACGATCAGTCCATCAGGACTGCTATAGAGAGCGGATGTCGGAGAGAGAGTCACGGTAATCAAGACGTTGTCCTGCATCTGCTGAGCGAGAGAATCGGACATTGTGTTTAGATCGTCAAGTGAAGGCGGATGATAGTACTTGGTGGTTTGAAGTGAAGTCGGACGAGAATAGAACGCACAGCTTCTTTGTTCTCCACGGCCATCTCCACCCGCTTTATCTTCCTACTACGACTCGTGCCAGTATTCCGCATACAAGAACGATGGTACTTGGCAAATTTACAGAGACTCGTGGCGATCACAGCCTTAGACAAGGCGATTGAACTTACAGGGCTGCGCTCAGTCTCCCGCCGCACGAACGCCCGCGAGCTTGCATTGATACCATCACCACCCTGCTCTTTAGCCTCGCATAGCGATCTCTCGCCGTCATGTCTGCTTCAGGTAGCTCGAAAGTAATCCCGCTCGACTCGCAGGTTGGCGGTCATCCAGGCGTGCTCACGAGCGAGGACGGATCGCTCCTCATCAAGCCCGCGCACCCTACCGAGGTCGCGTTTTACCAAACTGTCATCGCCGATCCCGGGTTTGCGCCACTGCGCCCGTTTGTCCCGAAATTCTACGGCACGCTCCGCCTCGAAGGAAAGGTTGATGACACTGCGCCAGCGCCAGAAGAGGGCAGTCAGTTCAAGGTCGTCGAGGTGGCGACGGAGGCTGAGAAAGATAAGTACCCGTCTGTTGTGCAGCGGCCCGATCGCACATGTCGTACTTACCGGCGCGCTCGGTGGCTACACAGTCCCTAGTGCTGGAGAACCTCTCGCACTCGTTCGCGAAGCCTAATATCCTCGACGTCAAGCTCGGAACGGTCCTGTACGACGACGAAGCTAGCCCTGAGAAGCGTGCGCGTATGGAGAAGACTGCGCGCGAGACGACGTCGCTCGAGACAGGCGTGCGCCTGACAGGTTTCCAGGTTCGTTTATACCATGCTATAGAGGCTTCACGACGCTGGGCTGACGTCGCGCATATGGCAGGTATACGATATCACCACCGGAAAGGCGGTCAACACACCCAAGGCGTACGGCAAATCCATCAAACCCGCCGACCTCCCGGACGGCATCGCGCGATTCTTCCCTTTTGGGGTCACGTACGACGAACTCGCAAACCCAAGTTCTGGAGGTGCAAGTAGTGAGGCGCCTGCGACGGGGACCGGTCTCCCTCCAGACGTTCTCTTGCCCATACTCGAGTCGATGAGGGAGGACGTCGCTGAGATCCGAGAGGCGCTCGCCCAGGTGCACATGCGCATGGTAGGCGGGAGTCTGCTTATCATCTACGAGGCAGACTGGGGGCGCGCACGTGAGGGACTGAAGTGGCTCGAGGAGGCGGCTGAAGACGAAGACGAAGAAGACGAGGAGGACGAGGATGAAGATGAAGATGAAAAGCGCGTGGGCCCACCATACCTTGTCAAGCTCATCGACTTTGCGCACACGAAGGTCGTGCCCGGGATCGGGCCTGACGAGGGGGTGCTGAAGGGCGTGGACACGATCCTGACCCTCCTGGACGGGCGTATCCAACAGACTAAGGCGGTGATCGCGTCGACAGAGGCCGCCCCAGCTTCATGAGGCGAGACTCCCGTGTACAAGAGCAAGAGATATCCATGTACGACCAGCAGCGATATATCATTGGTTGATTGTTATAGGACTTGCAGAAGCCCCGGTCGGTATGCGGCTCTCGTCGACTTGTGAATGGGAGAGCAAGGTGCCGAACATCGGATTGTACAAGGGCTACGGGTTGTGATCTGCACAGGAAGTATTAGGAAATCCTAGGGCTGCGGTGTACGAAAGTACACTATGACTTTTGCGATCTTGCCGACATCCGTCAAGATCTTCTCGAGGAAATCAGGAGAAGGTGTATGGGGAGAATCTCGTTGTAGTCTTTACTCCGGGTAGCCCTCTACGGTCACAAGTCCGAAGCGTTTCTTAAAGTCAATACTGGTTCCGCGCCATGACAGACCATAGCCTATGCGACTACGAGGAGCTACATGGTATAATACCGGAACCCTCTGAACACGAACTCCCCGTCCACCAAGTCGTCCAAACTCTCAAGAATGGCTTCTATCGCCGTCGAATCTATAGTAGAGAGATCATCAACTGCGACTTTGGGCTCCGTCTGAGCCAAGGACCAGTCTTCGTGTTCATGAATTTCCAGATACGTGAGCCGACTGAGGCCTGGCGAGTCGGAAGCTCGAGATTCAAGGACGTCTCTGAATTGTCGTAACCTTTTGGTCACGTACTCCTCAAGGTCTCCCAAGTTCCGCGGCTCCAAAAGCGCGCGAAGAGTGCCTTTGGGTACTTCCACCCATGTTACGAGTTCTCGAAGAGACGGACACACTAGCGCGCTCGAGCTCGTGCCGTCGGAATTGCTCCCTCCCGGCCTCTGCAGCAAACTGAGAGTCTCCCCAGGATCCCCTTCTATGTTGATCTCTACCCGTACGAGGTGCGGGAAGGGCTCTAAGAGTGCCGGCTTGGTCGAATGCCATCTATCGATATCCAGGACCAGGTGTGTGATGTTGGTCCATAACATCGGTGCTGCGGGACGGAAGAGCGGCACGACAAACGTATCCACTGGCGGCGAGTGGCCGACACTCTCCGCTCGAAAGCGTTCCGAAGGAGTACGAGTACTGCCATCCTGTGTGTAGCACTGCATATTGAACCGGTAGTGAAGGCTCAACTTGACTTGAGAGACCGCAGAGAGCAAGGAATGGATGGTCTCGAGAGTGCGTTCGTCGGGATCTAGCCAGGGGCAGTGATTGGTTCGCGAATCATAGGCACAATTGCACGGGTCATCGGCGCACTGGTCATCGCTCAGGTGAATGCGACAAGTAGGAGGTAGGATCAAACCGACGAGGGGACTGGAAGCAAACGTGCTTCCATCGACGATGTGAAGATGGCAGAGGGTGGGGAGGTGCATAGGTTCGCCATGCTGCCAGGTGACACTGCTTGGTCGGGGCGTTGGCAGCACTTGTAACATCGTGAGTACTTCCAACGTCTCCCTACATGTCCCGAGCGCCTCGTACAGATGGGTGGCTGAGGGCAAGCGTATGTCGGGGTTATCGGGGCGAGGATTGTATATAGTGACGTGTGTTAAGGTTCCGCACGCAATGAGCGGGAAGAGAGCTCCTGGTCATTCGAGGTGACGGAGGCGTGGGAGGCTCCCATTCGGTAATGCCTTGCAGGCGACTTGTGATCCCCACTTATTAAGCCACGTACGAGGATACATGTCTAGATAGTTCGCGACTGGACATAGGATATAGAGCTCTTCGAGGCTGGGCACTCCTCCGTGGAGAGTCTCCCACAGGTTATGTAGTTGTTTGGCACTGTGGACTTTGATTTCCAAGACGGCGATCCTGGAGATGTGAGGCAGTAGATGAAAGCGAAGTGCTTCAGGGAAGTGGGATATAGTCATACAGACGTCATGCGGAGCAGAGCGTTCCAGGAGGGAGTCCATGTAGGAGTATTCGAGAAGGGGGTGATCAGGCCCAGCGAGAGAGAATGATTCACAGGCAGTTGCGTCCGCCCATAGCTCCGGAGTCTGGAGGGCGGTGGAGCGCCACCTGCGACAAACATGAGTCATGCGCAGGCTCGAGCGATCCTTCCACGCTGCTCGGAAAATGGCCGACAGGAGTTCGAACGGAAGCCGATGGACAGGGGAGACGGCGTTGTGGATCGAGAGCAGTGCGAGCGCAAAGCGACGGTGCTCTTCTGCCTTGGCCAACGTTCGCTCTCGCACAGCTGAAGCGGAGAGTCCTGCGAGATCGGCGAGGTCTGCTGCGGGTAGAAGGGATACGAATTCCGAGAAAGGGAGATCAGGAGTCTTCGTGCTCATCGCGACTAGACGGGAAGGGTGTTGTGAGCGATGAATAGCATACCGGCATGCACACCTACATGGTGGGTTGAGTTCAAGAGACGATTGCAGCATGTCAAGCCAACGTGTCCGGATGTCAGCGGAAGACCATTTGGCTGAGACATGGACCGTTACGTAACATATTACCAGTTCACGACGCGATAGAGTCATAACCCGACGCGTTGGAGGAGGTCGAGCGTAATATGACTTTCTACGCGCGGTGACTTGTAAGGACTTACCGGCGTACGCCGCGGTGGTCCGTTGTTGCTGGTTTGTTCATACGAGTATGAAGATGTGTGAGATCTACATAAGTGCTGAAGCTTGCAAGTATGAGTAGATGAGCTAGCAGATGGATTAAGATTATATTCAAAGTCTATGTAATGGCATTTAGGCCGTGCGTGAGAAAGACTACTGTGATGACGAAGTGCTCGGAGACGGGGTATCTTGAGGACCGTTTGCAGATTCTGACAGAGTGGGCGGCGATGTCGCACGGCTCTTCGTGAGGTCGATGAGGGGCAAAGGCAACGGCGTACCCTCGAACTCGGCCCACCTTCCTCTCAGCCCAATCTCCACCACTCTCTGCAATATTCGCGCCAACTCGTCATGCCTGATCGTAGGTTATCACATCCGCATTTAACTCCAGCACATGTCGACAGTATGGAGAGCGCAACACGTACCGCACCGACTCTTCCTCCATCCTCTCCTCCTGCTGTCGAGCAAGCGCGTCCAACCGCGAGCTCAGGCTCTCCACGCTGGACTTGAGTTCGTCGAGCTGGTCATCGACCGCGTCTCGTCGTTTGGACTGGTTGCGTGTAGATCGATACTGTTCCCCTAAGATGAGACCGGCCGCGACCGCAAATAAAAAGCCTTCTGCGAGCGTGTTAGCCCCGCTCTCAATCGCCCTGCAAAGACGCGTCCCCTATGTGAACCGTGGCTAACGGAAGCAAGGATTCAAGATAACATACTTCGTTTCTGAGAGCGGGCGAACATGTTTTGCAGGTTCTCCGAGGAGATTGGTGCGGAGCCTCACTTCGGTCTGGTACATCCGCTGCGCGAGGCCGACGCACAGGTTACGGAACCGTTCATGTCTAGTGGGTCACATTGGCATATCCTTCCCACTTGACGGGCAATGAAGAGGACTCACTGCTTAGCCTGAGCCTTTATTTGGTTGCTGATAGGTTTTGCTAGCGTCTTGCACCTTTCAGAGACATGAAGCCTGCAGCAGGATCCGGACTCACTCGGATGACAAGTGACGCGATCTTTGCGGTGGCCATGGTCTCAAAGTAGTATGCTGGGGGTTCTAGCGGTATTATGGTGTGTGAAGCAAGTTAGATATGTGTGTATTACGGGACTGCCTGGTACGTATTGTAGGATGGTAGACGCAGAGCCGAACGGCCTCGTCAGTCCGCCGTCCTGCAGCCGGCGGCAAGGCAAAATGGGCGCTTAGACAATTCCCGTGCTTCAGGGAGGTTCATTGATACTGCTCACGTTTCCCCGTCGTATTGTAGGACTATAGCAGAATGTGGTCACAACACTCAGAGGAATTGATAACTTGTTGCCACGAGGGGGGCGTTAACCTCATGGACAATATTGTGGGCGTTGCATACAGGAGTACCCTTTGGGAAGGTCTTGCCCGATGCGACAACAGAGACCACGTGGCTTCGTAGACACTCAAAAAGCTGGCGGCACAGTTTTTAGTTGAACGTCGATTCTTGTCCATGTCGCTGTCGACATCAACCACTCCTAGGCAAGTATCAACGTCTTTTTTCTGTATGATGAGAACGCTGCCGCCCCAGTCGTAGCTTCGAGCTTTGACGAGAAGGCAGAGCATACAGCCAAACATTTTGCACCACTGATCCTGCATCCCCTCTACACTGCATAGTGACAGGCATGCTAACTTATTTTCTACAGGCCTCACCCCCACCTACACGTACCATTTGGGTCCTCGAGGTCCGGGGATTTGCCTTAACACGTCCCATTCGACCTTGCTCTATGATCCAGGATAGTGAGTGTCTGTTCCGACTCCTCGCAGTGCCGTCTGCCACTTCGGATGATCCCCAACCGAATGCAAATAGGAAGTGCCGTCTGAGAGCCACTTCCTCTGGAAGTTGGCAACTGTCGAGACGCGGTTCTCTGATCCTTCATCGAGGTCCTTCACCAACCATTATGCATCATGTGACTGACAAACCTGTTTGTTCTCAGCCAACGCCTCAACTTTCGTTCAATGAAGCGTCAATTGACGGGTGAGTTTCTGGAGGTGGGCAGGTTCGTGAAGAGACCTTGGTACCCTCGCCTCAGCTGCGCTGTCTCCCGTAGCCTATCTGTCATGTACATATGTACCGTATCCTCTGCGAATGCTATCAAACCGAACACTCATCTGCGCATGTATGTGACTGTCTTAATCCCCTCGACTCTACAACGTTGGTGCCCAAGCTGCCTGCGACTCGTCTGCTGCGACAGGCTGCGACCAGACTCAGGCACGCCTAGCGCCGTGCGTCATGGGCGCTAAAACGATTGCTTCCCCTTGACTGCGACGACCACCACGACCCTCACGGCGACGATAACTGCCCCCGATGGCGCAGTGGGGACAAGGCTACCAATATCCCATGCAGACGGGGTTTAATCCCCAGCAGCAACAGCAGCAGCAGTTCCAGCCGCTAACAGCGCAGCCCACTGGCTTCCCCGGCCAGCGTCCGGGCTTCCAGCAGCCCCAGCAGACAGGATTTCCCCAACAAGGCTTCCAGCAGCCTCAGCAACAGGGATTTCAGCAGCCTCAACAGACTGGATTCCCAAGTCAGCTGCAACCTCAGCAGACTGGATTCCCAGGGCAGCTGCAACCTCAGCAGACTGGATTCCCCGGCGGCGGGTTCCAGCAACGCGCCCCGCCCCCTCCTGTACCCCCCGTCCCTCCCATTCCTTCGCAATTTCAACAACAACAACCTCAACAGACCAGTGGCTTTCTCAGCACACAACAACCTAGTCAGTTCTTGAATACTTCCCCCGGCCTCTCGGCGCTCCAGTCGCAGCCCACCGGATTTGGGGGGCTGCGTCCCCTTGTTCCGCAAGCCACAGGATGGGTCGACCCCAGGCTCACTATGATGACGAACACGTTCCTTCCCGCGAACACCTCTGCACCGTTCAACGCTGCGGGTCTTCCGCAGTTCCAGCAGCAGCAGAACGGCTTCAACCTCCAGCAATCGTTCATGCAGCACAATCAGGCTCAGCGCGGGAATGCGACGCCCAAGGTGCCGTGGGCCCTGTCCAAGGCCGAGAAGAAACAGTACGATCAGATATTCAGGGCTTGGGACACTCAAGGCACCGGGTTCATCAACGGGCAGACTGCGCTGGAGGTCTTCGGGCAGAGCGGGTTGGATAGGAACGATCTGGCCAAGATCTGGTGAGTGCTTAACCTTGGCATGCGTCTGCGGGCTATGAATGCTCAGTGCAATCGCAGGGCTCTTGCGGACGTGGATAATCGGGGCAAACTCAATTTGGCTGAGTTCCATGTAGCGATGGGCCTCATCTACCGGAGTGCGTTGTTGTTTCTACGCGATTTTGTCCATTTCTGACCGGCAGATCAGAGTTGAATGGCAATGAGATCCCTGAAGTTCTCCCGCAAGAGCTTGTTCCCCCATCACACCGCGACCTGGAGTCTTCGGTCGATGTGCTCAAGGACATCCTCAAGCACGACACTCGTGCTCGCTCACCTGCTGGCCTTGACCCGGGTCCTACGTCAAAGATGCGAGAACGATCGTTCTACAACAACGCAACGGGCGCTGGCGGCCGTCAGGATGCCACCGTTTACAAGTACAATGACGAGACGCCAGCTGGTGGCTTCTATCAGCCTCGCTCGAGGCATGTCGACCGTTCCGCGATCAGGACGACGAACGAGAGCGCTAGCCCCTCTGCGGATCTAGACGACATGAAGCGCCAGCTGGAGAACACCGCCAAGATGCTTGATCGGGTCGCTGACGAGACCGCCGCCAGAACAGCCGAGGACGACGCTCTCGAGCGGGAAATGTCCGACCTCAAGTATCGCGTCAAGAGAGTACAGGAGGATCTCGAGTACGTCTCCCGCGGCCCGCGCTCGGTCTCGAAGGACGACGAGCGCCGGAAGCTTGAGCGTGAACTCTTGGAACTCATGCATGAGAAGCTCCCTGACCTCGAGCGGCGGATCAAGGACCGTGAGGCGCGCAAGGAGCGCGAGAAGCGTGAGTGGGCCCGCGACCGCGACCGCCGCAACGAGAGGTTTGGCCGCTTCGACGACCGTGACAGCTATTCTTCGCGGTACCGCGACGACCGGGATCGTGATTATGACCGGCCCCGCAGCGCGTATGGGGACAGGGATAGAGAGCGGAGCCGTGAACGCGATAGCTATCGAGACCGCGACTTTGATCGTGACTACGACCGCGATCGACCGTACTCGCGTAACCGTGAGCGCGACCGGGACTACGACCGCCCTCGCAGTCCTGTAGTCCGTGAGCCCGCCCCACCTGCGCCGCCGCCGCCAGCTGCATCTACCCCTGCTCCACGTGCCCCTCCTCCCGCACCTTCTGCTACTCCAAAGAAGCCCATGACTGCGGAGGAACGGCAGGCCCTCGTTCAGCAGAAGATTCGGGAGCGTATGGCGGCTCTCGGTGTCGTCGCTCCTTCGCCCTCACCCTCGAGCCAGATCGATACCAGCGTTGAAGACCGCATCGAGAAGGAGAGAAGAGAGGCCGAGGAGAAGGCCAAGCAGGCTGAGCGCGAAGCCGAGGAGCGCGAGCGTATCCGGAGAGAACGCCTCGAGGGCGAGAAGGCACTTAAAGAGGGTAAGAGCCCTACGTCTCCGAGTACCACGTCCGCCCCTCCGATTCCTGCTGCTGCGACTCCTCAAGTCCCTACTCCCAAGCCTACTCCTCCTCCCGCAACCAAGGCCAAGCCACCTGCCCCTCCACCGCCTCGCAAGGGTCCTGCTCCACGCCCTCCTGCTCCGCGTGCAGCTGCAGCAGCTCCCGCCCCTCCCCCCCCTGCTCCTGCCCCTCCTGCTGTGCCGCCCGCCCCCGCGGCGCCTGTAGTCGATCCTGAGGAAGAGGCCATTCGTGCGCGCGAAGAGGCGCTGCGGAAGCAACGCGAGGAGCGTCTTGCTCGTCTCAAGCAGCTTGAGAGAGAGGAGGAAGAGGCGCGTTTAGCCGAGCAGCAGTACGAGGCGCGCAGGCGTATGCTCGCCGAGCAATCTCAACAGAGGTCTGTTGCGTCGACTCCCGCTCCTCCACCTCCTGCGGCACCTGCTCCTCCACCCGCGCCCGCTCCTCCGCCCGCGCCTGAGCCTCCCGCAGCGGTGTCTCCGCCTGCCCCCCCTGCGCCTCCCTTTGCGAGCCCTCCTGTGCCGTCCGCGGATAAGGCGTCGCATAACCCGTTCAGTCGTATGATGAAGGAGGGAGGGCCTACGTCGTCACCTTCCCCTGCTGCATCAACGAGTGGGAGCACTAATCCCTTCTTTAAGCCACAAACTGCTGCCGCGCCTGCGGCCCCCCCTGCGCCTCCTGCGCCCTCGAAGAGCCCCGCGCCTCCCGCCGTCAAGACGTCCTATAACACCGCGCCTGCGGACGAAGACGACGACTGGGACGTCATCAAGGAGAAGGACGACGACGACAGCAGCGACGATGAGATCGATTCCTCCCGGGATACCCGCAACAAGCTCGCGCAACAACTGTTCGGCAACATCCTCCCGCCGTCCCGACCCCAGTCCGCTGCCGCCTCCGGCCCCTCGAAGCACTCGGAGCCATCGAGTCCTGCCGTCCCCGCCCCACCGCCTCCGCCGCCGTCCGCCCCTCCGATGACGAACCACGTCCCCGCGGCGCCGCCTGCTCCTCCCGCGCCCGTTGCTCCCCCAGCTCCTCCCGCTCCTGCTGCGCCGCCCGCTCCTCCGGCTCCTGGTACCCCCGCCCTTGCCGTGCCTGCACCTACCGGAGACCGCAGTGCGCTGCTGAACGCGATCCAAGCAGGCAGGAAGCTCCGGAAGGCGCAAACGGTAGATAAGAGCGGCCCCCCCGTCTCCGGAAGGGTTCTCGGCGACACCGCTCCCCCTCCCCATATCAACCCTGCTGCGCCCGTGGAGTCGACGCCTTCCTACGAGCAACCGCCCCCGGTGCATGAGCCGTCTCAACCGGAGAACACGAGGAGCAGCAATAGGGAGTCGGTGGACTGGTACGCGGGCTTGGCGGCGGAGGGCTCGGCAGTGCAACGGTTCCCGTCAGAGACGCTACCTACGACTGTTGAGGAAGAGGAGGAACCGGCTGCACCTGCTGCTGTGGTGCCGCAGATTCAGATCGAGGGGTCGGATGAAGGCGCGCTCGCCGATGTTGATTCGAGTGTCGGTGAGTCCCGTGTCGGGTCGTTGAGCGGAGTCGCTACTGACTATGTATGTTGTAGAGTATCGTGTGCGCACTCTCTATGCGTATGAGGCTCAGCGTCCAGAGGAGCTTAGTGAGTGCCATACGTGATCCTTAGATCGACCAATTGAGCTGATTGTTATGTACAGGCTTCGGCGAGAACCTCATCCTGACTGCGCACCCGTCGAAGACCGGTGGAGATTGGTGGCATGGCACTGTTGTGCGGGATGGCAAGAGCGGCTTCTTCCCCAAGACCTATGTCGAGCAAATCACGCCAGGTAAGCAGCTCCGCAATGTCTCCCTGACTGACATAGTGTAATCCTGAAGGAATCTCTTACCAGTGATTGCTCATGCTCTCTACGACTACGCCGGCAGCAACGCGGACGAATTGCCATTCGCAGAAGGCGACCAGTTGACGATTGTCGATAGATCAGATGCGGATTGGTGGAAGGCGGAGCAGGGCGGGATTGTGTTCATCGTTCCCGCTGCGTACCTTGCGCTCGCAGACGGTTAGTCACTCACACTTCTGCTCCTCCCCGACCCTATTGTTTACGTTACCGGCAGGCTGAAGTGTTCTCATATTTTTCTTTGCATGTATCTCCACTAAATCTCGGACAATACAAAATCTCAATGCGACATCGTCACATACATAGCACTCGTGCCTACGCCTATTCCGCAGCGCCTGGAGGCATCAGACGCAAGGAGTTCCAAAGAGCCTCCCACGGCAACAGACTCTGAGCCTGTTCGTGAGATCGAGGCCGATGATTCTGACAGTGACAACGAGGACAGCGACGAGGACGATTCAAGTTCTGACTACATGACTGCAAGCGAATCAGAGTCGGATGAGTCTGGTAAGGAGGGCGAGCAGAGCGAAGAGGCTAAGCGTCAGGAACGGGATGCTCGGGCAGCAGAACGTCAAAGAGTGCTTGAGGCAGCCGGATTGATAATAAAGGAGGATGATCGTCGCCCGCCCCCACGGCCAGCACGGGTTAGAAGTCGCCGGAGAAGGCCTGCTCCAGCAATACCTGAACGGCCCTCCAGATCTCACTTGTCCCCGACGAAGGACTTGCCTCCCGTGCCCGAGGCGGACTCGCGCAACCCGTCTCTGCGGCTGGACGATGCGTACGAACGCTATGAAGCATACCGGCAGAGCAACCTCGCGATGAACCGGCTGTCGATGGCATCCGTCGAGAGCGGCACGTCGGCCTCGAGCCCATCTGCTCCGTCTTTCCCGCCGCTCACACCCACAGCGTCCGAGCAAGGGGAGCAGCGTTCCCACTCGTCGTCCTTCTTGCACTTCTTCCGCTCCAAGACACCTGGGAATGACGAAGCACCTGCGAGACCCGTCATCTCGGCGCCGATCTTGCAGAGGGAGCCCTCGCCGTCACCGGAAGGGGATGCCGCGTTCGGCTCTGTAAGTGGCGTTCTCACTGGTGCGAAGGTTAGTATCCTAACCATGTACGTGTTGTCTTTTATCAGTCCTGGGCGAGTTTGGTGGACAGGTCGGCGTTGGAGGAGATTCCCCCTGGAGAACGTCGTCGTCAGGAGGTATGCTTATAGTCTACTATACGTCCTCGGGCTGGTTATGCTGATATCACTGTAGGCCATTTTCGAGCTCATTGCTACTGAAGCCGCGTATGTGCGAGACCTTCAGCTGATTGTTGAAGTGCGTTCAGCCTGGCGCGTTCAGAGGAATGACCGGACGAAGGCTGATGTCTCCAATATTCAGCATTTCTACACCAATGTCTACTCCATCCTGGATGAGAAGGCGAGAACTGTCGTGTTTGCCAACGTTGAGGATATTCTCCTTATGAACACGGTACGTCGACTGGTAAGCTATGACGTTCTATTGCTCACAGACTATCGTAGACCTTCCTGAGCTCTCTGGAAGAGCGACAAAAGGACTGCCGATTGTACATTGATAGAATAGGGGATATCCTTTTAACCAACGTAGCGAATTTGGGCGTGTACATGGTGAGGTCCGGCATAGATCGTGTGACAGCTCCGGCTTTACTCACAACGTTCCACAGGAGTATTGCGTCAATCAGGCCACTGCCATCAAGGTTCTGCAATCACTGCGCCAGTCGAATCAAGAGCTGGCAGCTGCTCTTCAGGTAGCTTGTTCCACTAGTAATGCTGCCTCAGTTCTGATGCACTTACAGCGACTACGAGACGATCCGACCGCGCGGAATCTCGATTTGTCTAGTTATTTACTCGTGCCCAGTATGTTTCTTGCATTTGTCTGGCACGCCTGCGTTCTGACCAATCCCATAGTGCAGAGGATTACTCGATATCCGCTCTTGTTCAAGCAGGTGGGTCTACCGTCGCAGTTACTACTGTATGATGGATGCTCAGACGTCACAGATCATCCATTATACCGAACCTGGCGAAGATCGCAGTCAGGTTGAGCGAGCACAACAAATGGCAGAAACGGTTCTCGAGCACATCAACGAGACGATCCGTGAGCAGGAAGGCAGGGAGCGCCTGCGAGAGCTCTCAAAAGATCTATGGGTAGGGCAAGGGTACGTCATACAATATGAGATATACCTTAGCTACAGATTGACGAATCCTCTCGCGCCGATCAGACGTCTTGACCTCACTGCGCCGACAAGATATATGGGTCAGAGAAAGCTTCTCAAAGAGGGGACTCTAATGAAGGCGAAGAGCGGACGGAAGCTACGCGCCTTTCTGTGCAACGACATCTTGGTGCTCACAGAGGAGACCACCAAGTCGCTGTATCGCATGGTGCGTCTCATACCGTCATGTTTCGTTTCGTTCTGGTATGACTTTTGCCGTCTAGCCTTTGTCCCTGGCAGAAGTAGAAGTTCGCGAAGTCTCAGGACTGATCCGAGGTTCGTTTTCCCTCAATCATGCCGGTGTCCTATTGGTAACATCACAACACGGTCTAGATGATCTCACCTTCCAGCTGGTTATGGCATATCCACGCGGCGGCAATACCGTCGCTCTTCGTGCGTCATCGGCGCGTGACTGTCAAATCTGGATGCAGGTCATCCAGAGTGCTAGCAAGCGGTGTCGCGAAGCACAACGTCGAGCTACAAGGCGGTCTCGAGGTTGAACGAGCTGTATTAAGGGGTTATTTCGAGACTGCTATCCTAGTACCTCCTGCTATCGATCTTTGATTAATCCTTACGGTACAAACCCATAGTATTTCTCCATACCTGTCACTATCAATGCAGCTGGTTGCCACGGAGTCATTTGCGTGTTTGTCGGAAGCTGAACGAGCGCTTCCTACATATGTCCGGGCTTGCCAATATTATTGCTCCAATATCCGGTTAATCTGCTGAAAAAGCCAATTCGTCGCCTGGCAGGGACATACAAGATACTCTTGGGTTTCTACAGGCACCTGGGAAGGTTGGATTAGCAGTACGGTTGCACCGCGGTGTGCACCAGGAGTATCAGCAAATATTTGTGGTGTGGGCAAACCAAACTTTTGGAAGCAAGAAAGATTCCAGAGGCGCCCATGGCCTCTCGTGAACTACGGTGGAGAGGAGAAAGTGCCCTATGAACTGCTTGGTGATACTTACATACATTAGACTCTTTCTGCAAGCGGTTCAGAACCAGACCAAATCTTGGTGATCTCTGAACCAGTGGGGCTGGTGGGGCTGGTGGGGCTGTGGGACATGACCTTTACCGCCCCAATAGGCGTCTAACAAAACCTTTGTTGTACCTTGTCGTACACTATGGTAGGCAAGAATTCAGAAAATCAAACTCCCATACCAGTTTACCGCATGAAAGGAATTTGAACCATGCTTGACAGCGCTGAGAAGAGCCTACCCAATGTAAACGTCAAGGGACGACCATTGTGGCACACGCGAGACGTTGCGGAGCACTAAGCGTGAAGGCCCCACTGATTCTGAACCTGGAGTGCTTACAAATTGAACTACCCCACTGATTCTGAATCGCCTGCAGAAAGAGTCTATTGAGAAGATTATATATAAATCAGAGTGCACCGATAACGTTTAGATCCTCCGGAGGCGCGCTTGCCAGTGGACGTACCTGCCATAAGCGGAATTTATCGGGAAAATCTGCAAAGCATAATTTCGATGCATAGGTAGGTGAGCCGATACACTAGGGCCGCTCAATTCTTGAGGACGCAGGACGCAGGACGCACTCAGAGCTCGTTTGATGGATGTGATGGGCTAGCCGAACCTGCCGCATACGGCAAGGTACCAACCTCATTTCTCGTGCCCGTTGTTTTCCAAGAGGTCTGTCGTGTCCCAAACCTCACATGGAAATATGAATCGCGAGTATGTTGAAGACGAAAGACTTCCGCGTCGATTGACACTACCCTTGAGGCACTTTGTGAGGGGGGAGGAGTGTTATCGTCGCTCGAGGGGTTTCTAAGGCGAGCTTGTCGGCTAGTCTCGCTTAGCCCATCACCTCCATCAATGGCCTCTGAACGCGTCCTGCGTCCTGCGTCCTCAAGAATTGAGCGGCCCTACTGCGGCGCCATACACACATGACTCAGGCCATTGACCACGGTGTGACCATACTAGACAACTGGCTAGAACTGGGCACTCTACCAGACAAGTAGGATTTTGAAGGCTCACCGCAGAGACGGATCCACACGGAGGAACGACACTGCCGTTTCGCGGGATCTGTCCGATTCGATCATCAGTGACAACAGTATGATTGCATCAGCTTTCGGCTAGCGTGATCCTGCAGTATAATCCATAGCCGGGTTAGCACATCTCTCATAAATTTCTTCAGCCTGCAAATCGCCCCCAGGAATGGCAGACAGCGACTCTGGGCACTCCGACGAAGAAACTGTGAATCATGTCTACAATTTCCCGACGCCATTCGAGTGGAATATTCGTGATCCGATAACGCTTCACGAGCTTCGGATGCGTGCGTTCGCCGCGATGGTCCTCGAGAAGCCGCGCTGGTGGGAGAAGGTCCTCGACGAAGCTCTCGTGGACAAATGGCGTCAGGAGATGCAAGAGTTTGACCGTCTCGCTGTCGCTCGTGCGCAAAAGCAGGTCAAACGGCGTTGGCCAAAGGATGGTGATTCGGACGACCCGGATGACCACTCCGAGGATGAGGATGAAGAAGATAGCGCAATTCAACAATGGCTCTGCGACCTGGTGACGGATGCACAGTTCGAGTGGACCTTCGCGTTCCTTAAGCATGCTGCGGGACAAAGAGACGAGACGACCGGATGTCAGGTCAGTTGAAAAGACATGAAGAACATGCAGGTCTTCGTCTGACGTCCTTTATCTGTCCTACACATAGGTCACGACTATCCCATGTGTTTATGAGGCGTCAGTCCTTGTGCCCGAAGAGCTGAAGATGTCCCTGACGCAACAGGCGGGGGTTCTCGAGTCAGTGCCTGACGAGGAGAAAGACTGGCATCCAGGCTCTGACGGGCAAGTCCTCGACCTCGTTCATCCTTCCCTCTACTGCCTGTGTATCGACCGGACCCAGGTCGTCCGCCCTGCTGAGGAAATCGCTCGGTTTGGCGACCCTCTCACGGTGTACAACATGGCAATGTGTCGCGAGGAGCGTCCGGACATCGACCACGACATAGGGGACTACTACATCTCTCTAGACTTCCAATGGCTACCCACAGACTTTCAAGTCTCCGAGTCCGGCGACGTGAGACGTCTCGGATACATAAACAACCTGCATCCCATCAAGCACAGAGCTCTGTGCGACACTATCACGTCCGTGCTGCAACGCTTCGTGCCTCTGTTCGAGAAGTCCCTCTCTGACGTCCTCAGCCCGACTCCACCACTAGCGATCAACGTAAACCCGTATCTCTGGTATTCGCATCTACCCCTAGAGGTGAGATACGATTCAGAGTCGGAGAAGCGCAAGCCGCTCATCCCCGACCCAACCCCGTTCGCGCCGCCCTCCGCCGAAGGCCGTATCGAGCTCAACCTGAAGGGGCGCGTCCTCCAGGTGATAGTCAAGCTTGCGAACATCATGCTTACGCCGGAGAAGCCGCACTACCGCGGCGGGTCGTGGCACGTCGAGGGCATGGCGAACGAGAAGATTGTCGCGACGGGCCTATATTACTACGCATGCGACAACATCACCGAGTCCCGGCTCGCGTTCCGCGCGCAGGTCGGTACGGACTCAGAGAGCATCAATATGCTATACGTGAACGGGGATAGAAGGGCGTGGAAGACTACGTATGGAATGGGAAGTGAAGAGCCACTCAATCAAAACCTCGGGTCGATTGTGGCAGCGGAGGGAAAGTGCGTGGTGTTCCCGAACATCTACCAGCACCGCGTGCAGCCGTTCGAGCTCGCGGACAAGACGAAGCCGGGACATAGGAAGATCCTATGTTTCTTTCTGGTCCAGCCTTTCGTCACGATCGCATCGACCTCGCGGGTGCCACCTCAGCAGCGCGAGTGGATTCTAGATGAGATGGAACGGGCACCCCCGTTGCAGAGGCTGCCGAGGGAGCTGTTCGACATGGTTGCCGATTACGCCCTTGCGAGTACAAGTACGAGGAAGCAGGCAGAAAATGACAGAGAGGAGTTGATGGAGGAGCGGAAGAACTTTGTGGTGACGCACAACGAGGAAGTGTTTGAAGTGCCGTTCAATTTATGCGAACATTAGACATATTCGTACGCGGTGTTTACTGACCAATGTATAATGATTGCTTTTGCATGTCGGAGGCCAACCGTTAACATGAGACACTTCAGCTGGACGAGGGGAGAGACGATGGGACACGCCCACACAGAGTCTTGCGCACAAGCAGTGTCGCGGGTGAAAGACAGCAACTCAAAAGAAGGTGAGGGTAGACAGCATGCAAGCATTACGATGATATACACATAAGAACGAACGAGGCTAGTATGCTTTGTATAGATCACCGCTTGCGGGACTGTCTCCGACTCTCCGCTGTAGATGTTCCGGAGCTTGAGCGTCGCGCCAACACGAAGAACACGACAGCACGCACCTGGTGACTTGGCCTTCTTCGGTGCGCCCTTTCCTCTCCTCTTCTTCTCCTCCACGTCCGACAGGCGCTGATACTCGTCCCAGTCCTGAATCTTGAAGTCCCCGCCCATGCGGTTGAACCGGGCGACGGAGAGCTCGTCGGGGTAGTACTGGATCATGGACGGGCCACGCAGGCGTGCACGGAGGTATTTGGCGCCAGTGCGGACGGAGGTGGGGTTATAGGCTGTTTGGAAGATTTCGCACCGCATGCGCGTCAGCGCGGCGAGTCGTGCGGGTGCGATGGCGGCCATTGGGGTAGTGGGCCGTGGTGGAGGAGGTGGAAGGAAGGTGAGTAGCTTTCTGCATTTGGAAGGCGGCAGCTTTCGATCCTAACAAAGACAAGCAACGTCGGATTTCGTCTAAGCGCCAACAGAATACGCTACTACTACGCCTGATTCTACTTTTCTGGGCTCCACCCTCTAGGCTTTGCTTGCTCGTCTAGGTCTGCGCCTGACTCATTCCTTTGCGTCTGTGCTAGTACCTGTGAAAGGGGACCTGATCTTAGGGTGATCGAAGGGCTGTGGTCAAGTTCCCAGGTATGTGCACAAAGATTCACCTGTCACCACCTGGGAGGACCATTTTTCTCTGGGGTCCTGACATATTTACTGTACAGTGACTGCATTGTCTATGCTCCGGATACCCTCGCTTTTACGAGCAACATGCTGCCGTGAGCTTCGTACGCCCTCAGTAAACGCCCAGCAATTGCTTGTCCGCACCGCTAAATTCCAAGCACGAACTCGCAAGCCGGTTGGACGTCCATCTCGCGCCCGGTCAAAAGCAAAGGCGTTGGAAGAAGAAGACAACCAGGTCCGACTACTTGCGGATGATGTCCCGGTCTACTTCTCTCGAAATGTCCACACATGGCTTTCCCAGTACAACCAGAGGATCGCTGACCGGCTGGCGCGGTTCGGTGTCCCCAAGGATGACCTCCGGTCTCTCCTCAGAACGTATACCAAGGCCATGAACAAGGGTGACGTCTTCCGCCACCTCTCCTACAGCGGCGACCAACTATCCCGCATTGCACGTGACATGACATCTAACTCCCAGCACGCCATGGACCGATACTTCACGCGGATGCTCTTCGAATGGACCAGTCTTCCTGAGGGCCAGGAAGCACTCGAGACGGTAGTGTCTCCCAAGGCTCTAGCGCGCATGCAAAGTCTCTTCCGCGCCGCAGACCTCTCGAATGCGGGCTGGGAGTACACGCACACCCGTGGAGCTCCACCACGCAAGTTTATCATGCACGTCGGTCCGACGAACAGTGGGAAGACCCATAACGCTTTGCGCGCGCTTGCAGCTGCCAAGCGCGGGGTGTATGCGGGTCCTCTACGATTGCTTGCCTTCGAGATTTTTGATCGCCTGAACAAGGGGCAGATCGTCCCGCTAGGGATGGAGCCCGACCCGCAGGCAGAACCGGACTCGCAGAGCAACATCGACTTGGGCGACGGCGCGGAGAAAGGCAAGGCGGTCATCGTGAAGACGGGCAATCCTCGGTATGCGCGGCAGTGCAACATGGTTACTGGAGAAGAACACAAGATCGTCTCGGACACGGCCCCGCTCCTCAGTTGCACCGTCGAGATGACGCCGCATGCGACATATTTTGATGTCGCGGTGGTGGACGAGATTCAGCTGATCTCGGACAGGCAACGCGGGGGCGCATGGACTGCGGCGGTCCTCGGGCTGAATGCGAGGGAGATCCACCTTTGCGGCGAGGAGTCCGCTGTTCCGCTCATTGAGGCGCTGGTGAAGCAGACGGGGGACACCTTAGAGGTCAATCGCTACAACCGGCTTACCCCCCTCGTCGTAGCTGACAAGAGTCTGAATGGGGACATATCCCGTATCAAGAAGGGCGACTGTGTTGTCACGTTCTCTAGGATGGGCTTGTTCGAGCTGCAGAAGAATATCGAAGAGGCGACGAAGATGCGCTGTGCGCTCGCATACGGTCGTCTTCCTCCTGAGATCCGTAGCGAGCAAGCGGCTCTTTTCAACGATCCCAATAGTGGCTACGACGTCCTTGTAGGCAGCGATGCCGTGGGCATGGGTCTCAACCTGTTAGTCCTCTCATGGTCACTGGCATGTATGTTGTGCTAACATATATCTCATGCAGCAAAATCAGACGAGTCGTTTTTGAGACAGTCTCCAAGTTTGACGGCACCAGGGGTCAGCGTCCCCTCTCAGCGTCGCAGATCAAACAGATTGCTGGGCGCGCGGGCCGGTTCGGGATGCACGGGGACGATACTGCGGGCATCGTGACGACCTTACATCCGGGTGACCTTGACCTCGTACGGGAAGCCCTCGCAACGTCCTTCGAGCCTCTCCACACGGCTCGGTTGAATATGACCATGGAATCCTACAGAAAGATTGTCGAGGCCCTCCCATGGGAGTCTTCTAACATAACCGTCGCGGAGGTGTACCATTACGTGTCGAGGATGTCACCCCTGTTCGAGTTTCAGTCGATTCACGAACTCGAGCAGGGCTTCCTCTTCATCGATGACTTCGCCGACTGCCTCACCCTCCCTATGCGGCTCCTCGCAACGAACTCGCCCACCCCCTGGCGTGACGACTTTGCAGTCACAGGAGCTCGTACGATGATGGAGATTTATCGAGACTCCTTCCGCGTACCCATTGACGAGATGCTACGCCGCGGAAGGCTACTCAAGAAGCTCAACAGCGCACTTGTTCTCATGGAGGGCCGGGTGCCCGCCTTCACACAGAAGGACGTCGTACCCGTGCTCGCGCATTTGGAGACCCTGCACAAGGTCATCGCGCTCTACCTGTGGTTCAGCTACCGGCACCCGGTCGCGTTCCCCGATCAAGAGAAGGCGTTCAAGCTCCGGCACCTCAACGAACTCGCAATGGACTGGTGCTTGGAGGTGCTGCACCAGATGCGGTTGAAGACGAAAGACCCCGCCGCTCAGGCGCGCAAGACGGTGTTGGACAGGCGGCCGTTGACGAAGCAGGAGGTGACGTTAGCGGAGTCGGATTCGTCCAACTCAGAAAAGACATCGCATGAGAAGGTTCTGAGCGACAAGAACGGTACGTTCTGGACATTGTTGCAGCACTGGTTCCCGGTTAACGAGCCAATATTTGTAGATGAATTCATTTCGCACATCGTACGGTGATGTATGCCCCTCGTGCTTCACTGTGACGGGACAAGGTGTTTGCTCCTCTTTGTCCGCCTGTCAAGCCGAGTCCAAGTGCGCTCGACCGGAGGGAGACGCGCGTTGTTTTGAACCATCGCGCCGTTCAACTTTCCACCTCGGCCCCCTCGTTCCGCTCGGTGCTCGACTCGGCTGGTCCGTACGCGTGTCCACCCCCATCTCGCATCTCTAGACTTTGCTGCTCTTCACGCCCAAAGTTATGTTATTATCCTACTTAATAATCGCGCTCTCGGTGCTCTTCGCCCCGCTGGCTTACGGGCGACCGGCCCCTGCTGCACCCTCCCACCAAATACGCCATCCTGCCCCACAAGTCGAGCCAAAAACCCTCCTAGGTCGACATTACCTTCTCCACGAACACCGCGAGGTCGCGCATACCCATATCGTGCATTCCAATACCGGCAGCTCGCGTGCCCAACAACCCTCGCGACGTTCCAAGGTCAAGCAGCCCTTCGCAAAGTACATCGCTGACCGCTCTGGCGACATCTGGCTGCACGAACGACGCGCCCCAGTCCCCGTCCTGATCGCACAAGCCGAACCCGATATGGACGACAACAACTACGTCTCGCACGTTGGGCCATACGCTTACGAGCCTGCGCCGCCTCCCCCACCGACCGTCACGATCCACGTCACGCAGACGAGCAATGACTACGGCTCTTCACCCTCTAGTACCGATGCTGCGGTGCTTCCTCTAAACCTCGCAGCTGCAAACCCGACTGCGACGCCGGTTGGGTATGTTGACATGGAGCAGCAGCCCGGCGAAGAACACAAGCACAAGGGGAAGGGCAAAGGGAAGGGTCATAAGGGCAAGGAAACGAAGGGATGAAGCCGGAGTCGCCGCTGGCAACGAGCGGGTGTTGCGGAAGTATCTCACTAATATCGTCCTGACGATGGACAACATGACTTGGACCCCCACTCTATATCATCCTGTATCAACAGACGGATCATTCTACCTCATCTTGGGATTCTGTATGTGCGCTTCTGCAAACCTACGTTGGGTGGCACGGAATGACTGCCTGGAATATGATGACGTCATCCTATCTCAACCACCCTCGACAAGCGCTTGTTTGACCATGCAAAGGTTGACCACATCATCCTCGGTGGTTATCTGATACCTAATAATCACGTATGTTAGCCCGCGTGGTGTATGACCATGTCTGATAAGCTAAGACTGCAGGCACTTTGCTGTACTCTGGCCCTAACATTTTTGGCGAAGCTGAGACTAAGTCTAAAGGCTCGGCTTGCCAAGAATTGGCCTTCCCTCGCACCGTGAGCAACTCTGCACCGTTTATAGATTGGTATATTTCAGCTAAGCTTGCACCCTATTCAGCGGACATTGCCCCCATAGTCCTTTAATGGCCATAGATAACATGGATGTCATATCAGAAGATGGCACACTAGTAGAAGAAGACACTCAATCAGAGAGGGCAACTAGCTCCCCAACGCAACCAAAAACAGTTAACGCACTTTCTCCAGGACAAGAGCGGAAGCTAGTGGACTATCTCGAAGAACGCTTTTTAGACATCACCCGGAACTTCAAGAAACGGTTCGCATCTCGTAATTTCAAAACACCTCTCACAAGGCTGACCCGCATCCTGCATATCGTTCGATAGGGCAGACCCATCCTCGTCCCTCCCCACGCTCCCCGCCTACCTCGAAGCGACGCACCACCTCCTCTCGCTCATCCTCCAGATTCCCCCCGTCGACCCCTCCGCGCCCCTCCGGACGACGCTCCTCCTCCGCCTCACCGGCGACGTCCTCACCGCCGTCCCGGGGTATGTCCCCACGCTCGACGTGCTCCCGCTCCTCCTCGCCTGGCTTGCCGACCTCGATGCAGGCTGGCTCGCCGTCCTCCGCTCGCAGGCGTGGGATCCAACGTCTTCCACAGCTGTCGACGGGCGCCTTCCCGAAGGGGTGCGTGCAAGCACCCCGAGTCAGACGGAGCGGACGAGGCTGAGGAGTCTGTTGATCGGGGGCACGGACGCGCTGGAGGAGTGGCTGGAGCGACTGGACACCAGCGGGGCGGGGTTCGAGGTGGTGCTGGAGAAGGTGGGGATGGAGCAGGCGTTTAACGAGCTGTTCGCGGGGACGTTGGGGGAGATGGGGAGCTTGACGGGGGCGATGAACGACCCGCGGGGGATGGAGGCGACGTGTTGAATCAAGGAGGGGCCTGGCGTGTACGATCACCGTGGTGCGAGGCACTCATACTCTGGCCGAGGCTGTGTGCGAGTAGGACTGTTGTGTATTAGAATTATAAGGTGGCTATTGTAGACTAGTTAGTCTATACGAGGCCAATGCGTGTCCGGACCTCTTTCATGACCGGCTCAGTGAGAGCTCTCGCCTTCTCAGCACCCGCCTTAGCCACCTCCTCCAGGTACGCCGTCTCCTTCCTCAGCCGCTCGAACTCGGCTCGTGGGTTTGTGAGTAGCTCTTCGACGGCCTCCGCGACGTCCGTCTTGAGGTCTCCATGGCCCTTGTCTATATAGCGCGCCGCAACCACCTGCACATCTTCGTCCGTGCACGCGGCGAGGATGCTAAGCAAGTTAGCTGCGCCCGGACGCGTCTCGGGGTCGTAAGTGATTCCGAGCGTGGAGTCGGTGACTGCACTCCGGATTTTGGAGCGTACTTGGGCAGGAGTGTCGGTGAGGAGGATGCGGGAGTTCAGGTCAGGTGAGGATTTCGACATCTTGGAGGATGGGTCGCGGAGCGAGAGCACGCGACATGAAGAGGCTGTCAGAACGTGTCAAGAAGATATTGACACTCCATACAGAGAACAGACGTACTGATTACATGCTGAGGAAGGGGGAATAAGGCCCGTTTTCCTTTGTAGGTGCGGTTGAAGCTCTCTGCAAGGTCGCGGCAGAGCTCAATATGTTGCTGTTGATCCTCGCCTACTGGCACATGAGTCGCGCTGGTGCCGTGTAAGCCGCGCACCCCTAGCCTGAGATAGTAGAAAGCGTACCGGTACGCCAGAATGTCGGCGGCTTGCAGGACGGGGTACGTAAACAGCCCCGCGTTAAGCAGAGACTCGTCCACTTCCGAGTCATCCCGGGCATTCCGCGACGCGGCGAGCCTAGACTGAGAAGATATAGGTCAGGGAGCAAAAGCAGCAAGCAGTATACTCACCTTCCAGGTCGTCATTCGTCGTAGCTTGCCCATGGGCGTGATGCAATTGAGGATCCAGGCCAACTCAGCATGGTGTGGATTCTATTGCTACCATTCAGTACACTCGTGAGGTTAGTGCGGGAAAGCGACGCACCTCATCTTGATGGAATATGACTGACCTGTTCGGGTCAAGACCAACTGCGAGCAGCACGGCGAGCATGTCTCTCCGCGCGACACTCAAAGCCCTTGGGTCTTGCGGCAAGGTGAGCGCGTGCCATCCGACGATCGAATATATGAGCTGGTCCTCGGGGGAGGCATCGCGCTGCAGCTTGACCCAGTTCAGGAGGGCTCCTAGCAGGTTTCCTATCTACTCGATGGTTTATACAAGCAACAAGGTACAGGCATGGCACATACATGTGGGATGCCTGTAGGTTGGATGCCGGAGAATACGACTCTTGGGCGCGCGCGAACTTCTTGCGATTCATTGTGGGCGACCGAGGTTGTGATGATCCCACGCGCGACGGTATGTCTGCTATGAAGAGAGCGCCATGCGGAGGAGAGCGCGGCGGGTGCACGGCGGAGGTGCTGGTGAAAGAGAGACATGGACAGCGCCGGAGACCGTGTCGAGCGCGTCGCGTCTGTTGCTTGAGAACGTCATCGTCGCAACGCCCTGGTCAGATCTCGCTTGTCGTCTGCCATCTCCGACCCCGCTGTGCTGCTCCTTTCTCTCCTTCTGGTCCTACTGGTGTTATGGGCGACAATATGCCGATGCATTCGGGCTTCGAGGACTATCTCGACATTCCAGGAGGAGATGACTTCGCCGAGGTAACGGACCTGTTTGTAGCCGGGGCTCAAGGTACGTCAAATCGTGACCGTTTTGGTGCTCCCGAGTTGCTCAACCGTCCGCGTAGATATGGAACCAGAAGAGGTCCTCCTCATGGATGGTTTTACTCTTATGGACGCAATGAGTGCCTTCGAGGTGAGCCCAAGCATCACTCCCCAAGTGTCCCGAGTTGTCATAACCTCTACTCCCACCGCAGATTGGCGAACCCCGTCTAGACAGTGGAATGATTCTCGAAGAGCAGCGGAGACCTCCGTTCGATCCACTCACTCCCCTGCTTCCGGAGGAGGTCTGCTGGATCCTGGACCGCAGCTTCGCTTGCGAGGTGAATGCCACCCGCTACTGCCCTTTCGTACTACACCGGAATGTTCATACTGCACTCTTTGTTTTGTTCGCGTACAGATGGAATGGCATGCGGGGAAGACGCTCTCGCAAAGCGTCTTCACCATCCTCTTTGTGCACCACTTACCAGACATCAACCCTGAGTACCTCCCGCCCGAAGAGGACGAAGACCCTGCGCGGCCGCGATGGCTTATCACCGTAGTCATCCGCGCCGCTATGCTTGGATTGCTAAAATGCTGCGACTTCGCCTGGAGGGAGCTTTCCAAAAACCGCGTGCATGATGTATGTGCCGTGTGAATGTACCAGTAACTTACCGTCCTGACGCGTGCTCTGTAGATAGAAGACTGGCAAGGAGAGAAATGCGACGTGTCATTACTGGAAGGCGTCAACTCCGACCTCATTATGCACCTGTTGGACACCGCATCCGACTGGGTCCAACAATCTGACCTTTCGGATGCGCAGATTGACGCGTTATGCGACCGATTATACCTACGCAAGGTATGTCAAAGAAGGATGGCCGTAGCTGTCTGGGTTTGACAACTTATACCCCGACCAGACTTTGCTCGCGCTGTACAAACTGGACCTACTGAAAGGGGTGGACCAGCTATGGTACCATACCACGGTGGGCCGCGAGCTCATCGATCGGATGCGAACACCAGACAATCCTATACCGCCAGACTCGTCTGTGCACCTCGCGATGGATGCATATATTGCTCGTCGACTGCCAAATTTCATGCCTATACGCATTACGGAGATACCACCTCTAGGACAGATCTGGGACTCGCTTGATGCTTTCCTAGAGTTCTGGGCGGAGATAGGTCATTTGGTAGCGTCACCCTCCTTGTCATTGTGGAAGGTGAGCTTGATGTTCGTGGGTTGCATCAATCGCCTCAGCAAGAAACTGACTTATTCAGACTGCAGGACAACTTCGGTATAGTTTGCACAAGAGGCCCGCATGTGCGTTCCATAGATCGCTCTTACAGGTCAGTAGACTCACCGCCTGACCGTCGACTGCTTCCCGTACTCAACACGCTCAGACCCTTTTCTTCGACAAAGAGCTCGTCTTTGGGACCTATCGACCGATGCGGCTTGTGGAGCAATTCTTCTACGAGACGATCGGAATTCCTTACCCCGCTATAACGCAAGCGTTCAAGCGGAGCGGCCCCGCGAACCCACCAGCGAGTATGCAGGATGTCGTCGAACGGCGAATCATAAGAGTGATTCTTCAGCTCTATTATCTTTGAGCAGTATTTTCTCATTGGGCTCATGCTCGGTAGCTCATGGTTCCACACATACGTTCATATTGGTATAACCCTCCACGACGACGGCGACATCTGATGAAAGAAGTTCTCCAGTGGCACATGCTGTACGACGTGATGCTGAAGGATGTAGAGACGCACAAGCCTCCCGTACGTGCCACAAATCAACTTCTCATTCTAAGCATTCATCCTATTAAGCGTATCCAAACTTTAGGATGCGGAAACGGCAGCGATCCTTCGCGCAGTCCCGCTAACCGCACGCATATGGCGGTTAGAGCAATGCCGGGAAGTCATCCTAGCCGGGTTCCAGCAAGAGCTGTACGCACCCGAAGAGAGGCCGATTGCGTACTGGTACCTCGCTCGCGTGCTCGACCAGCATATCGCATGCATAGAGGACGTTTTGCCTTCCGTTCCACGAGGTACATTGTACTATCCCCATTATCTTTCAAGTCCTCGTAACCCGAACCTTCTGTCTAGATTCAGCCGCATATCTCGAGTTCTTGTTTCAAGCGGATCATCTGGCTGCCCTACAGATGATCTCGACGGCATTGATTGCAGTGAGTCCCCACCTACTGACTCCGTGACCCGGGCAACTGATTCTCGCGCATACTCAGCTTACCTCTATGTACATCACGTCGACGTGGAAGCGGATATCGATAAATTTCAAGAGAAGGTACAAGTGGGTGTTGAACCCCGAGTTCGAAACACTCATCCCAGCGCATCCTCTGCCGGACCTGTTGAGCTTCCCGTCCATGCTCGATGAGTTGTTGCAAGTAAGTTACCCCAATCCCAGGGTCTACCCCTTCATTCTGAACTGGCGTCTCGACATGACAGGAAACACTGTACTCGCCCTCAAGAACTTTCGAGCTCGCAGAGAACATCGCCCGCCGCTTGAGCGAATCACCGCAGGAAGCTGTCAGTCATTGGGATCGTGATCGACGACAGGTTCGCTCCGTAACTGTAGCTGCTGCCGGGAATACGTACACTGACTTGGCACCGCTCTTGAACAGTACCTAAGAAATCTTGCAGACGCATGCGACCGGCTCAAACGAGGGACGCCGGACTCGTTCATTGAGCTCCCTAATCTAAATATCAAGACGTTGAAGTGGATACCAGATGTGCACCCGTGGTTCCCCACTGTCGCTTCTGCATAATTTTATTTGTATGTTGAACTGATCCGGTGGGGGCGTTAGTATACTGTAGTAGCAGATATTGGGTTAGACCGCAGGCCTGGATAATTAAACAGGTTGTGTAGTGGGCTAAGACCAACCGGATCCTGCGTTGGACCCAGGCAATGCCTGCGCCTGAATTCCGTGCCTGCCGGACCTCGGCCCGGGTGAACTGGAAGAAAGCTGGAGCGAACTCTGTTTCGCAACCGTCCTTATCGACCACCAACGTCAGTACTTGCTGAATTATGGACGGAACAACGCCTCCGGCAGTTTTGACCATCGCAGGCTCTGATTCCAGCGGAGGAGCAGGGATCCAGGTATGCGCACTTTCCGAGTCATACTACCCGACTCAGAACGAAGCGATGATGTCACATCCGAGGATTAATACATTCCCTGTAGGCCGACCTGAAGGCGTTCACGGCATTTGGATGCTATGGAACGTCCGTCATCACCGCACTCACTGCGCAAAATACGAAGGGCGTGCAAGGCGTGCACCCGACGCCGCCCGAATTCCTCGAACAGCAGGTGAGTATCGTCTCAGACTTTTGTGAAGTGAATTAAAACATGACATGAATCGCATTTCAGTTACGGGCAGTGCTCGAGGATATAGATATCAAAAGTATAAAAACAGGGATGCTCTATGATGCGGAGAACACTCGCAGAGTAGCAAGCACGCTCAGGGCGCACTTCGAGGACACGGCCAGGATACCCCCGCTCATCGTGGATCCCGTCGCCGTCTCGACCTCCGGGCACACTCTCCTCCATCCTGAAGCAGTGGACGTCATGGCAAAGGAACTCTTCCCGCTTGCAGCGCTCATCACCCCCAACAAGCCCGAGGCGGAGCTCCTGCTCTCACGCAAAGAAGGGAGCGCCGATGCGAGGATCGAGACCCTCGAGGATATGTTGTCCGCGTCCGAGCGCCTCCTCGCCTTAGGGCCCAAGGCGGTCCTCGTGAAGGGCGGACACATCAGTTTGACACTGGCGGACGTCCGGAAAGTAGTTGCTTCGCGACCGGATTTGGCGGTCGTCCAGGAGAACTTCCTGGGCGAGAACATGGAGATCTTGCAGGTCAATGAACAGGTGTTGAATGCGCGCCCACTTGTTGTGGATGTCTTGCGAGAAGCAAAAAGCGTCACCTTGTTTGTCAGTCCGAGGATAGAGTCGATGAACACCCATGGGACTGGCTGTACACTGGCTGCCGCCATTGCTTCGGTTCTGAGCAAAGGGGAGCCGAGTGGGTACTTCCCTCAGCATATCCCGAACATTGCTGACCAGGACTAGTGCCTGAGGCGGTACGACAAGCCACCATATTCACACATGTCGGAATCGAGACTGCGTTTCCGGTTGGGAAGGGCCATGGTCCATTGAACCACATGCATATGCTCACGAGGAGACTTGTCCCACCGTGAGTGGAGACACTATCGCTGGCCCTCCATGTAATACTTACTTCCCCTGTTGACATAGGCCAAGACCAAGTAACCCTCACCCGCTTACTCGTATCCTTATCCAATCATCAAAGCGAACATGGAAGGAGTACGTAGAGCATGACTTCGTGAAGCAGCTTGCGCAAGGTACACTTCCGAAGGAATGCTTCTTACATTTCATCAAGTAAGCCCCATACTCTCATGAACGTCTCCTCCTGCTAACGATCAAGACAGGCAGGACTACCTGTACCTGAAATACTATGCACGGGCATACGGGTACTGCGCAGCCCTCTGCACCTAGCTCCATAATGTTGACTGGTTAGTGCAGCCTGCTTATCGCAAAGTCGGCCACGTACACGTCCATCCAGTCCGCGACCCAGACCATCATGAACATCATCACGGAAGTGACAACGCACAAGTCTTTCTGCGCACTATGGGGCATCAGCGAAGCGGAGCTGAGCGCGACGCCCGAGTCTCCTTCGACTACTGCGTACGGCGCATACCTCCTCGACATAGGACTGCAAGGTATGCCACTGCGACTGCGCCGAATCCTGCGAGCATTGATCCTGGGCGGTTAGGGGACAGCGCAAAACTTATCATGGCCCTTGCGGCGTGCCTCCTCGGGTATGGAGAAGTCGGGTTGTGGCTGAAGAAAGAGGCGGCGAAACCCAACAGCTGGGTCAAGCTCAAAGGGAACCAGTATCTCAAGTGGATCGAAGACTACTCGGGCGAGAACTACCAAGCGGCTGTCAAACTGGGGATCGGTGCGCTTTTTGACCTGTGCGCTAGCGTGTGAGCTGCGCAACTCACTCGCGGAAAACAGAGACGATCGAGACGCTTGCAGTGGACAATGCGCCAAATGCGCGACAATTCCACGAGTGGTGCGTGATCTGGGAGAAGTGTACTAGGCTCGAGAAGGGGTTCTGGGATGCGTCGCTGAATCTACTGTGATTGGAGAGCGAAGTCAGGGATGAGGACGATATGATACACGATTAGATTACGAGGGGGTGTAGCTGAGACTGAATAATATTGAGCGTAGCACAAAGCAGCAAGAAAGCAGGGCTCGACGGAAACGATGTATTGATGATGCGATCGCGTTTCGGATCGGGGACGAGACACTGGGTGTCATGATGTGTCCTCATACTTCAGGGGAACGTCCGGCGTAGGTGAGGTGCGCTCAGGTGCCGCGGCGAGGGTCTGGATGTCGACCTTGTGCTCTTCCGACTCTTCCTCAAACTTAACTTCGATCTGCGGACCGGCACCTCGATCAGCTTCTACTGAGACGGCGGAGGCAATCTTCTTGCTTCTCGTCTTGCTACTGGACGCTTTGACGACCTTCCTAGCGCTCGGGCAGAGCCCATCGCTAAGCTCGCATTGGTCGCACTTGGGTCCAACGGGTGCGCATATGGTCTGTGGTGCGGGTAGCCGCCGGGCCGATAAGCACTTAGACAGAACTGCTGACTGCGCCACGAAGCCACAGAGTAACACAAATGGTAAGAGAATGTATCGAGACGCACCTGACCGAATCCTACGAGTAGATGGTTGATATCTGGGTGCAGCTCCACTGGCAACCATGACTGCAGGTTTAGGCTAGACGAAAGTTCATCAGCAAATTGGTCGGGCGAGTCTCTGGACCCTGCCAGCGGGTCGTACCGGGTCTCCTCCGGAGTCTTCGTTGGGGACTTGTGCCATCCAAGCCTGTTCGTTATCCGGTGGACGTGCACATCCACGCCGATTCCAGCATTTCTGGAACCGAAAAGTGATCAGCACGAGAACGGAAGTAACTAACGGCCATACGTACACCTTCCACGCGACTTGCAACGCTAGGAAGGCCATCTTGGGCCCAACGCCAGGCAGAGAACAAAGCTCATCTACAGTCTTGGGAACATCGCCGCCGAACTCGTCCTTGAGTTTCTGTGCAGCTTGTCTGATGTACCTGAGCGCGCCCGTCAACTGATGGCGACAGTCGGGCGATCGGGAGCAGACCCCCAAGCTTCTGCTTACTGTGTCTTGCGCCGCCAGAAGCCCACTTTGCATATGGCTTCGGAAATAGCGCTCTCGCTGGCTCTCAGAACCGCGTCGATGGACAGGGTCCCGCCCACAGCCTCGCGGAGTTTCGCCACTGCCGCATCGGTCACTTCATCTTTGGTCTGTGACGACAGCATCAGCGAGACCAGAGTCGAAAAGCGTTGATTCTATCGTGGCTGATAGTCAGGGCACTGGACAAGAAACATGGTGAGATGCCACCTTCGGGTCGGTTTCCTTCAACTGTGCCTGGTCGCATCCCATGGTGTCGACCGGCGCGACGATACGCTGGCGCATGCGCTTTATCGTGTCATATGCCTCGCGCCAGCTTGGAGGTGCCGGGTGGGGGGTCTCCAGCGCCGTTGGAATCGGCCTCGGTTTGCGGGGAGACGCGACCCGTTTCGGTTTAGGACGTCCTGTCGCAGGTGCTGAGGTGGACGAGCCGGCTGCCTCTTCCGAGTCGACTTCAGTTTTCACGAGTTGAGTGACCTTGGCTGTCTTCGAAGCTCTGCTTGTGGTAACTTCTCCCGACACGGTATCCTCGGAAGATCTTGGTGCCGTCGAGCTCGAGGGTGCGCCATGTCGTTGTTGGGAACAATTTGAGGTTGATGGGTTGGCTGGAGTTGAGACTTTCAGCCTTTTCGACTGACGCACTAGCGTTTCAGGTGCGATCTCATTTGGCTCGAAGATCGTGACGCCTGCCTGGAACGCACTTGGCCGGCCGAGCAACGACGCTCTCCTCTTCATAGGCGGGTGGTAGTGGTGATGGTCTAGAGGAACGTCGCGGGTACTGTGAACAAGAGAGTGATGGTTTTACTATGCTCTGTAACGGTCATATGTGTGCGTGGCATTCGTGGTGTAGCGGTAACATTGGGTCTTCCCATGGCCTAGCTCCGGGTTCGACTCCCGGCGGATGCAACTGACCGGCTAAAAAGTGGATTTTTGTTGCTCCCTGACACACCTGCTGCCATGTGAACATGTTTTGAATACATTCCTCGATGGAAGTCAGAATATAACTCACAGTCCAATTTTGTGCGCGTATGCATAGACTAAGTGCGTCTAGTGTCGTGGGAATGTCCCCCCGAGAGTAGCGGCCTTACCGAGAGGTAACAGTAGCGCTTGTGTCGCTTATACTATCATTGTCAATCCCGCTCAGCTTGCGTCTTCTGAACAGATCAACAGGTAAAATAGCCTGTCTCAATTGCTTACGAGAGGCCCGCGATCTCGCGGTGATTATGTAGTTGGGATGGTTCGTATATCTAGGTGAGTCGTACACCGGTTGACAACGGAAACCTCACTACTAGGGTCCAGGGTCCAGGCAGTCCAGGAGCCCTCATTCTCTGGTGCACCGGAATATCGATGCCACAACTACATAGTACACATGCCACGGTAGTTTCCGATGTATGCTCCTTGGGGAGGGTGAGTCTGAGTCGAATTCCATTTCCGCATTAATAGAGTAGCTTATATGCAGTTTTCCACCCATGCCCAACGTTCACGATGCTGATATCAAGGGCCACATTGCGCACCTCAAAGGGGCTGCTCAGTTCGCACTCAGCACTCAGTAAGCTATTCCATAAGGTATAATGGTTGTGAAGAACTGTTTTTCTGAACTTTCTATGTTGGGCGGCAGCAGGCCCCTCAATCCGGACCATCCTTCTTGGGAATTCCAAACATCATTCGTTGGCGCTATGTGGGGCCAACCTGCTATCAACATACGTCCTCTGCACCCCAAAAATGGTTCTCAGAAGTATCGGCGTGCGAGTGCATGCTGCTACCTCATGTGAGTACTCCCTCGTGCAGACGCGAAGACTTGCATATGGTTGCGACGACTTCTTTTGTTTCTTTGCATGCGAGACACTCCTTTGGGCCCATCTGTATTTCAGTATAAGAAGGCCGTGTTCGGGCGACATAGAGAAGCGGGAGAACAAGTGTTGCATAAACCTGTCGCTGTTGCCCTTTTGCACTACCAGCATGCTGTTCCTTCCCTCGGCTATGCTCCTCGCTTTCGCGGGCCCTCTGGTCCCCGGATACGCCTTCGTTATGGCTGCCCATACGGTCAATGTCGCCACCCGTGCCAGCATTAATAGCCCTCTTTTCCCCGTCTCTCCCCAGCAGGAGTATTGGACGACTGACCAGGACCTTCCTAGCCCCAGTCCCCTCGCAGACTCTACCTTCCGTCTCCACAACGAGATCGCAGCTCTCTCTCACGATTACGTCGACGCACCGGATGGCAAGCTGTCTATGCGCGCGATATACCCTGCAGGTTCCTACACTTTTAGCCATGACCCGCAGGGCGGGTTCTCCTTCTACGCCCCTGGCCCGTCAAACGTCGACTTGACTACAGCGAAGGAGGCTACATTCAGTTACGACGTCTACTTCCCCTCCGATTTCGATTTCGTGAAGGGAGGAAAACTGCCGGGTCTTTGTACGTTGTTTGTCACTGTATCTCTTATCACGAGCTCATGAGCAGACTGATCCCTTGCGTTTTCCCAGACGGTGGAGACAGTGACGACGAGGCGCTCTCCTGCTCTGGAGGACGCCGGGACGACGGCTGCTGGTCCGCACGCTTCATGTGGCGCACAAATGGTGCTGGAGAACTCTACACATACCTCCCGCCTGACTACGACGAGAATCAGGCGGTCTGCGACATTCCTCCGTACTCCACTTGCAACGATGTTTACGGCGCATCTGTGGGCCGTGGCGCGTGGACGTTCGAGACTGGCGGCCGGACCACGATTGCCCAACGTGTCCGCCTGAATGATGCCGGCCAGTCGAACGGAGAGCTCGAGGTCTTCATTGCGGGAAAGAGTGTGATCAACGTGGGCGGCCTTGTTATCCGCGATAGCTCGGCCGGGCGCATCCGTGGCCTCCAGATGCAGACATTCTTCGGAGGTGAGTCTCCTCCTCCCACAGGCCTGGATTCGTCTTCCCACAGCGAAGGCATGCATATGGACTAGCTTCTAATGACGGCTCCCCGGCCCATTGACTGCTCCGAGGATCGCCGCGCTCGGTGCATTTCCGTCTACAGATGTCTCTCCGAGCTGTAGAGCTTGCGCTCTCCCTTCTCATACCGTGGGCTGACTTTGTACTACTTTTGTGCACAGGGTCGGACTCCTCGTGGGCTTCTCCTACAGACCAGGACGTCTACTTCTCAGACTTCTCCGTCGCTATCACAGAGGATCTATGAGCGCTAGACTACGTGAGTTGCCTTGGTAGCGCTCCCCGTCACGTTTGATATGTATTGCTGTCTCTCAGGTTGATGTGTCGGAGGCTTTCTTCAAGATGATTTAGGTGATTTCTTGTTTTGTGTCGGGTTTTCGTCATAGGTTATATTGTTACTGGTTGAATTGTACCGATGAACATACGTCTATGCGTTGTTGCTGTTCTACACCGTGCTTGTAGCACGGACCTCCAGGGAAATGGTCAACACATAGGTATTGATGGAGTTCTTTGCAGAACGCAACCAATGCTGTGAGCAGCCCAGCAGATTTCTCCTTGATACCACATGCGCGATTGAGTTGTGAAGACGATGCGAGGAACAGAGCTGATCCGGATCCAGATTCGGATTTCCGGCTCGTGGATGGGCCGTAGATAAGTCCTCCGAGCCTCGAACGTCCGACGTGGTTTGTTCGAGGGCTCTTGCTTCACACGATCAAGCGCTGGAGCTGCCGCGCGTCGGAGGCTGTGCAGAATGTGCACGTCACCGCCGACGCAGGTGCTCCGCAGCCTCTCGGTCTTCGACTCTCAAGTGCTTGCCACATAGCTGTCCTGTCTGCACTATGCTATGGTAAAGGACGAACCAGACACGTGCACATGGTTGTAGAGAACACGCACAAACCCAAATGTGACCAGGACGCTCGACATCAAATCGCCTCGACAGCCCAATGGGGTAGACAACACTGCCGCGGTTGAGTACTACCGCGACCACCCAAAGGCCACATCAGACATCAGTCGCGGGTGTCGGGCGATATTGGGGTCGACTGTCATCTTACGAACTCTCCCCTGGCGCCTCGACTTTCAAAATCAATCAATCGGTGAGTGGGGGCAGTGATGATATCGGCGCCACATACAGTCTCAATTTCTTTAACCATTGGCTGCGCCCGTCTAGCTTCAGGTCAGACTCGATGCTGTTTCAATGCGCGGTGTCTTGGCTACACGTACCGGAGGCTAGAGTTGGGGACACATGAGGTTCGACGCAGATGCCATTGAAGACGTGAACCATAAGCGCTTTGCCTCTGAGACAAGGGCAGCTTTTTGTTCTTGATCACATGGGCGTTCTCTGATCAGCCCCGGTCCTATTGCCGTTTCGTTCCTTGTTCTGTGCGCTAATGTCCCTCTTTTGTTTGCGGGCGCACCGTTCTCCCAGCTTTGCTATGCGACATGGATCGTATAAAGGCGTACCCATTGTGTTGCATCTCTCCTTGCTCGACGCCGCAGGTTTCCGTCCGCTCCCAGGTTTTCGCTCATACAGCTGTGCTGTTCCACTCGCTCTACTGCTGTCCTTACACTACACGAATCGCTCGACGACAAAATGCTCGCAACATTTGCTCCCATCATCGCTCTCGGAATTGCGTCCACCGTTTCCGCTCTCCCGCTTTTGTACAATGCCACCCTCGCCGCGCGTGCTACCTCCACTCTCTTCCCTGTGTCCGATAGCACTTCTTGGTCTGTCTCTAAGGACGCATCTAATGCTGTTCCCTTCGACGATACAACGTTCCGTCCTGTCAGCGAAATCAAGGACCTGACTCATGATGTCGTCAACGCACCTGATGGTGTCCCTTCCATCCAGGCCAAGTACCCCAAAGGCTCCTTCAAGCCCTCCGCTCAGCCCCGTGGTGGCATCTCTTTCTATGCACCGGGACCCGATAACGTCGACTTGACCACCGCCGCGGAGGCTACACTTTCTTACACTGTCCTGTTCGAGGATGGCTTCGACTTTGTCAAGGGCGGCAAGCTCCCGGGTCTCTGTAAGTCCTTTGTCTGGAGATCACCAACGAACAGTCACTGATTTCTTTATCATCATAGACGGAGGAAACAGCGACTCAAAAGCCATCGGTTGCTCCGGTGGCCGCCGCGACGATGGCTGCTTCTCCGCGCGCTTCATGTGGCGCCCTGAGGGAGCAGGCGAGCTTTACACCTACCTCCCGCCGGACTCTCCCGAGAACAAAGCGGTCTGCAACGTTCCTCCCAAATCCGAGTGTAACGACGTATTCGGCGCGTCCGTCGGGCGTGGCTCCTTCTCGTTCACCCCAGGGACGCGCACAACGATTGGCCAGCGGGTCAAGCTCAACGATGTCGGCCAAGCAAACGGCGAGCTCGAGCTGTTCGTGGACGGCAAGAGCATGTTCACTGTCCCAGGCCTGGTGCTGAGGACGGCGGACTCTGGGCGAATTCGTGGGATCCAGATGCAGTCCTTCTTCGGAGGTGAGTAGTTTGGAGCTGTGGATATATGGCCAAACCGTGCATGCGCCGGGAGGATTGATACTAACTTGTTGCTGCGCGCAGGTAACGACGCTTCTTGGGCGACACCCAAGGAGCAGAACGTGTTCTTTGGCGACTTCTCGGTGGCCATCACCAAGGCGCTCTGACGACTAGATGCCTCCTAGAGATACGACTACACGACCTCGCGTCGACTTACGACTTAGTTATAATGACTCACTTATTGCCGTGCATCCAGCATGCCCGAACTTCCTCACGCTCATTCCAGGCTCTCGACCAAGATTGAGCCATGTATCCCAGTAGACATCATGGCACGCATATTGTACACTTACTCACGCTCGCGCACTTGCATCTCTGCAATAGACCATGTGGCACTGTGCTGTTCTCTGTTACATTTCCACGCCTGGTAGTAGTAGGCGCCACCGGCGCCGTCTTATCCCATCGCCCCGTCCTACAGGCGCTAATCGCTCTCACTCTGACAACCACGATGTCGAGCAGCGAGTTGACATATCAAGCTGAACGGTGGTAAGTATCCTCCAACTCATGCCCCATAGGTGGGGCAGACTCGTCCTGTCCTAAGCCCTTCAAGGTAATCCAGGGTTCCGGACGTGTTCATGCTGCTGATGCGCCGAATTGTAGACATGCGCCGCGCCGCGCCCCATTGGGCTTGTACCATGATTTCATGCGGTCTCAGCCCTCGAACGCCACGACCTAAAGCCCGTAGGCGGCACGGTGCCTCTTCCTACCGGCGTACATCGGGTGTAGCCACTTCAAGATGCGACTGGGTCGTTGATATACGATCCACGGTCTCTGTTGCTGCACGTGTCTGCGCTGTCGGTGGCCATCTGGCCGAGAGCCCGACTGACACACAGGTACGCCGCAGCCATGCCTCCTCCCGCAAGCTCTTTTGAGATGGACGTTTTTGTCTCTTAGTTGGCCTGCTTTGCCTCTTTCTCTAGCAATATAGACTTCTCCGAAGAGCTGATGTCTACCGGCCATATACTCTTCTTGCGGACTCGTCCTTCTCGGTCGCAACGCACACTCGTTCTCTCATAAGAACCGGGTTGTCTTTGCATGTTCCCCCAACTGCTTTCACTCGGAATCGCCTCTGTCTCATCGTACTCTTCGAATATGCTGCCGACGTTCGCATTCACCCTTGCTCTCGTGCTTTCCTCTGTGTCCGCTGTACCGCATAGCTGTCCAGTGCAGAGCTCCAACAATGCTTCTGCTTCGGCATCATCCGACAAGACTCTCTTCCCCATCCTCTCCAACGACAGCTGGTCCGTCTCGTCACAGATACGGAACGCACTTCCTTTCAATGACGCCACACTCCGTCCGACCAAGGAAGCGCACGATTACTCTCATCCCTACGTGAGCGCGCCGGATGGTGTCTACTCCATCAAGGCCTTCTACCCTAAGGGGTCCTATAATCCCTCTGGAACGCCTCGAGGCGGCCTTTCTTTCTACGCCCCAGGCCCTCAGTCGGTTGACTTGACCACGGCGAGAGAGGCGACCCTCACTTATTCCGTGCTCTTCGAGGAAGGCTTTGACTTCGTGAAGGGCGGAAAGCTTCCTGGGTTGTGTACGTATTCGCAGTTGTTACATCTCACTCGGGCGTGCTGCTGATGGTAGTCGGACAGATGGCGGTAACAGCGATGAGGAAGCTTACTCGTGTTCAGGCGGCCGCCGCGACGACGGCTGCTTCTCCGTCCGTTTCATGTGGCGCACGGCTGGGGCCGGGGAGCTCTACACCTACCTCCCTCCAGATGCTGCCAACAACAAGGCTCACCTCGGAGGCGTCAAGCCTATGTCAACATGCAACCCCACCTACGGGTGCTCCGTTGGGCGCGGCTCGTTCAAGTTTGCCGCAGGCACGCGCACCATCATCGGGGAGCGTGTGCGCCTGAACGACGTTGGGCAGCAGAACGGAGAACTCGAGCTCTTCGTGAACGGACGTAGTATATTCACCGTCACCGGCCTGACACTTCGCACGGCGGACTCCGGGCGCATCCGTGGCATCCAGATGCAGACGTTCTTCGGAGGTACGTGATGTACAATACACCAACGGGCAAGCAGGTTGACGCTCAAACGGCTTGTAGGTTCGGACGCCTCTTGGGCAACTCCAAAGGACGTCAATTCGTACTTCGGCGACTTCTCCGTGGCAATCACCGAGCAGCTATAGATGTCAGGATCGTCCCTGCTCACCTGTATCATGCTGAGCTGCGCTATGTATATTTGTACTACACGTCTGCCAATCAAGGGTTGTGCGCGCATATATTTAGCACGCTCCGCTCCTATCAGGTGTACTTCGGTGTCCACAACCGTGAGATGATGCTATTTGGGTTTGCTCGCCCCTCCATAGCTCCGGTGCCATGAACTGCTGTTCTGTGATGGCCACATTGCTCTGCGAGACGTCTCGATGCATCCATCTCCCGCCATACAAACTCTCACAGAATCTCCTGAATCTGAGTTGTTAATAGTCGTAGGACTCCAGATTGTAGTCTTCAAGACCGACATCCGAGATTTGACGTCTACAGCTACTTCGGATCCACCAACTTCCACGGTCCTGCCTGCTGTTCGCTAAGCAGTTCATGCGATATCGAGGGGGACCCCTTTGTCGAAGCATGTGAGAGGTAAGTCTGTACCCCTCTGCTCGACACCCGGTCTCTGAAGATCATGAGCAATATCGAATCATCTGGGTTCACAAGTATGTGATATGTTCCTGCCGCCTGTACGTACCATGTACCGTCACAGGCATCGTCCTTACGGTTCTGTAGCGTCGCTGTCGCGCTCCAAAGAAGCTCAATCTGTGTTATCCAGGTATCCTCGACCCGACGTGGCAAGCCACCACAGACAAATTGGTATCCTGCAAGCATTTCAGGCAAAGCGAACAGGCCCCAATTACATTCTCGCCGTCTTGCTTGGATGAAGAGGTGTCTATTCAAGATGTACTTAAGGAATGGCGGAGTCGCTTGAGGATATGAAGCTGCCTCGTTTCCGGAGGTGACTGCCGAATTTGCTTCGCATCCGGTTGCAAAGGGCCGCCACTCCAGCTTTGCGTCAAGTTGCGTGCAACGCAGCGATCAACAGGTGCAGTGCCCCCTTCGGCATGTGTAATCGTCCGACGGATGTACTGACGGTGAGTGTCCGTCCTCTATACTGATGAGGCTGCCACCTTACTAGGATGCGGCCATAGCGTGGAAGCTCTCTTGAGAATGCCCTGAATGAAAGCTCATGCACATGGGCAGACCATGGCTGAGCAATTAGTTGAGGTGGACAATGGCCGAAGCTTGCGACGGCAACGAGACGCTGGATTAGGGTCAACTCCACCGGGCGTCTCACGGCTGATGCTTTGGTATCCCGGCCGTCATTTTCTCTATACTTATTCTCTCTCTTTCCCTCATTCACTCCTCCCTCCTCCTCCCCACTTCCGCCAGGTTTCGTGCAGTCTCCTGCACAGCCATCGTTCTTTAACTCCCCACTGTCTCTATAGACTCGGTTCTCCAACCAAACGACACTCATTTTGTGGAAATAGGCCATCTCGATCATGTACGCCTTTAGGACTCTCCTTGCTGTCTTTGCCTTCTCTCTCCTGTCGGTCTCGGCTGCTCCAGCACACCACCGTCGGAGGACTTGCAAGGCTCCCAGTGTCTCTGCTTCCGTTGCGACGAGCACGTCTGTTTCGTCTGCGGTCTCCACGAGCACTGCGGTTGCGTCGACTTCAACGCACCTCACAAGTTCGAAGGCATCCTCGACCCACGCGTCCGGCAGCACCGTCAAGTCTTCCAGCTCCTCTCACCACTCCACCAGCAGCAGCGCGCAGCCCTCTGCTACCGCTAATGCTGGCCCCACCAGCTTGCTTAAGAAGCTCTTCCCTGTCTCCCACAGCGCGTCCTGGACTACCTCCACCGCGTCCGATGCCGCTCTCCCGCTTGATGACGGCACTCTCGGTGTCGAGAAGCTTCTTTCAGAGCTCTCGCACAACTACGTGACCGCACCGGACGGCAAGAAGTCGATGCAGGCGCACTACCCGGAGGGCTCCTACACCTATGACCACGATCCTCAGGGCGGTCTTTCCTTCTACGCCACCGGCCCGTCTCAGTTCGACCTCGACAACGCCAAGGAAGTCACATTTTCGTACTCCGTGTACTTCGACGAGGGCTTCGACTGGAACAAGGGTGGCAAGCTTCCCGGTGTCTGTGAGTAGCCTTCCTGCGTCGTACCTCTTGCCGAGCACTGTATGCTCGGAAGTCATATACGCGATCATGCCCGCGCAGGCCGTTTTCATGATCTCGGTGTAGCTACCTTCAGCGGCTATCCGGCTTGAACATGTGCTCGTCGTGCGCTCGTGTCGTTAATAGTTTTCACATGGTGTTCATTCGGCTGATACCCACTGTTACATTCACAGTCGGCGGCAACTCCTTCGACATCGCTGCCTCGTGCTCCGGTGGCCGTCGTGACGACCGCTGCTTCTCGGCTCGTTTCATGTGGCGCACCGATGGCAAGGGAGAGATGTACACTTACCTCCCGCCCGATTTCTCTGCCAATAAGGCTGTTTGCAACGTCGCGCCCGAGTCCGACTGCAACGACACCTATGGTGCCTCCGTCGGCCGTGGCTCGTTCTACTTCAAAGCCGGGGCCCGTACCACGATCGGCCAGCGTGTCCGTCTCAACGACGTCGGCCAGGAAAATGGCGAGATCGAGCTGTTCGTCGAGGGCAAGAGCATTTGGACCGTCTCGGGCCTCGTTCTCCGCAGCTCCAGCGCGGGCAAGTTCCAGGGCATCCAGATGCAGACGTTCTTCGGAGGTGGGTTTCCTCGCTGTCGCTACTCCTTATGGTTCCTGACTGATTGACTGACTCTACAGGCCACGACTCCTCGTGGGCGTCGCCCAAGTCGCAGAACACGTACTTCTCCGACTTCTCGATGGCCATCACGGATACATTCTGAGCAGCTTCGCTCTCCGTGATACGCTCCTTGGAGCCTCCCTTGGTTCAACAATACGATCCCTGACGTCACCATTGGTCCCGGTCCACACTCACGTGGCACGCTTCCCTGCTTCACGCATACACACATCCACCTGCATCTCCCGTTACATACTCGATCTCTCGTCTCTGCCATTCCGTCTTTGCTTTTTTTCCCTTCCTGCTCCATCGTTCGCTACTCTATTACTATTGTTACATTCGCGCCCGTGCTCGACGCACCTGTTCTTCGCTCTCGATTCTTACCACAAGTTCACAACTGGTTATGGATTTCGCGTATAAGGGTCGCGAGACACGACGCGCAGCGGACGCGTCGCAGGGAGGAACGGGATTGGGCGCCGCGATGCGTATCGCATATGTATCGCTAGACAGATAGATTTCTGTGTCGCCAGTCGCTTTGACGTTGTTGTGAATACATATGTCGCACTGAGCACGATGGATGTCGGATGGCGTCGCCAATGTTCTTTGAGAGTAATCAGGTTGTTTGTGTCGTGATATTTGGTCGACTGCCAGGCATCATGTCGAATTCGGCAGTCCGTAGAGATGTCAGCCTATCACACCACCGTTACGCTGCCAACTCTCGACTCCAGCTGCCAAGCATGTTGTAGTATACCATGTCTGTCTGCGCATAGACATAGCCACGCGATGACGTTTCGCCGACAGTCGGTACTCGAAGTTCGCGGCCCGAAGGATTCGTGCTTCATGATGCTAAAAAAGACAGAAGCAAGGAATAGATTGCATCCGCCGGGAGTCGAACCCGGAGCTAGGCCATGGGAAGACCCAATGTTACCGCTACACCACGAATGCTCTATAGGGCTCTTATGCTTGCTGTTGGCACTGTGAGGTCATTCAATCTTCGCCTTGAGGGGAAGTTTATGCAATCATACAATTGCAAGCATGGCAGCACAAACCCCCGTTAACGTTGAAACACGGGCTTGTGAGATACCCATCTTGCTATAAGTCTACGAGTTGCCGATCAACGTCAACAGTTACACTTTCAATTTGGGAGTGGCTCGTGGCGTCTATCCGGCGTCTGGTTCAAGTCGCCGTCCCACCGGTTCGCGTCTCGACCGCGCTATGTCTACATAATCTGGACGTGTTTAATACCCCCACCATCCCGAGCACGCGGCTTTTTGTCTATGCGCGTGCGACTAAGACATGGCACAGTCAAGAGAAGCTACTGCGGAGGCACCAGCTCAAGGGCAGATCTTCGTTGTGAACGGGGAACCTGTCGCGTTTTACCTCCATGGCACGAACGAACCGGGAGATCGTTGGGCTTTGACTCCCGGACAGCGTGAGGAGCTTGCGAGGAAAGTAATGGTGAGATGCACCCTTCACATTCCTGGTTTCCAGTACGGGTGCGGTGGACTGAACGCGGTCTGCAGGCGCACGGTGGGCGTATCTGTCCCCGGGAAGAGGACGCAGATACGATCATCGCGAAGGAGGGGAAGGCGTTCTACAAGCTGGAGTACAAGTATAGCTCCTCTAGGAAGTATGTGGAGAAGCCGACGTTTGTGAACACGTGCATCCGGAACCGCCGTTACGCGCACGAACCTATCAGGCAGAGGTCCATGGGTGGTCGAATCCCTGGAGAGTGAGTTCTCAGCACGTAATCTCCAATGCTCTCCATCTCAATGTACCCAGGAATCGGGTAAACTTTACCAGTCAAGATGACCGGCACCTATGCGAATACATCGCTTTGAGGATACCTAATAAAGAGGCTGGTGGTCGTTACGGTGAGGTATTCTATAAAGAGCTGGTAGACGACGGATGGAAAGTGCGTAATCTCGCTCTGCTTATACTTGTTCTGGCCCTGAGTGAGGTCGGTTAGAATGAGCACGAATTTGGTTGGGCGAGACGCCACACATGGCATTCCTGGCGGGAGCGATATAGGAAGAACGATGCACGTCTGGATCCCATCATCGATCAGATAGTTGCGGCCAACCCCCCGCCCGTGGACGGCAAGGGCCTTTATGAATACAGCCGGCTCGTGAATGCAAAGCAGCACTACGAGTTCATGAAGAAAAACCAGTACCAGCCCTCGGACGAAGAGGAGGACTACGAGGACACTGATGCCGAAGAGCAGCAAGAGAACGACGAGCTTCCAGGGGAAGAGGACGCTCAACGGCATCCATCTCCAGCTCAGGCCTCAGTCGGTCGAAATGCTGAGAGGAGACAAACGGATTTCGGTCCTCGGAGATTGCCAGGTCCGTCGTCGACGAAACCACCTTACGGGCGTCGTTCTGCGCCTGGTAACATGGCACGGCCTCGTCATCAAGACCTCGATGACACCGGCGAATTCCAGTCCACTGTCGGGCTCGACGACGAGTGAGTGACCACCCCCACTTCCACGTTGCTATCTGCTCACGCAACGGGTAGCTTTGATTTCCCTCATGACTTCGATCGACCTGGGCCAGAGGAGGCGGGCCCATCTGGCACGCAGCACAGTCCCTCGCCGGCCCCTTCGCCCCGTGCTTCCCAGCCGGCGAAGAAACCGCCCACCCCTCGACCGGTGAGACCGAATGCGGCAGCCCGTGCTGCGAGCCAATTTCCGATGAGTTCCCAGATGACGCTCGTGAACCTGACGCAGCCGCGCAGCACAGCGCAGCGGCGTCTAGAAACGCCCCTGCACGAGGATCAGGAGGTCGACTCTCGACCACAGAAACGCAGGAGGAACATCGCCAAACCGTTCGTTTTGATCGACTCGGAGCGTGGCCGTGTACAGCAGCAGCGCAGTAGCTACCAGGCCCAGGTGCAACAGGACCAAGACCACCGACCTGATGAACCAGCAGACTTAGAGTCTTTCTCGCAATCGCCACCTGCCGGACAGACGAACGAGGACGCCGAAGTGGTGGAGGAGATGCTTGACGGCAGCGTCGAGCATAGCGGGCGGTTGTCCCCCGATGTGCCCTTCGAGCTGGAGGAACTCGACAGTGACGACGAGCGTGCGCTTCTAAGTCTGAACCCCCAGCGCAACCCTCCACGTTCCAGTGCGAGCGACGCACAAGCAGGCCCTAGCCGAGCTGTGTCCAGAGCGCGCAAGCGACCTCTGCTCTACGAGCAAGATGAGGACTTGGAGGACTTCGCAAAGACCCTCGACCTAGTCGGAGGTATGGCGCCCCCACGCGCTATCGGGTCCGTCGCCCCCGGACCGTCGGCCTCGTCTCGTGCCCAGGCTCAGGCCCCAGTCACACCCTCAGCCTCGCGGAGCCTGCTACGGGCGCCGAGCGTGGCAGAGTCGACGTCGACGTCGTCCTCGCAGCAACCCCGGGACCCGGTCAATCATGTCCCGTTGGACGGCACACGTGCGAGCGCGGAGAGGAGGAGGGCGAGGGAAAGCGCAAGGCACGAGCCGTATAACCCTCCGCCCGGGACCAAGGCTTTTGAGGTTGCTAAGCAAAAGAGCGCGAGGAGGACGCGGAGTGGCAAGATTAGGGGCTAATCATGCTCAAGGGGCTTTTTACGCCCGAATGGTTTGCTCTTGACGGTTGGTCCAGCCCCATTCCTTTATTCATATGTACGAATTGCCGTTTGTGTCACGGATTCGTGGTCGTTCTACCCTTTACCACAACTCCTCCACTAACTCTATCACTGGCGATATTTTCCTTTGCTGCGTCCCTAGTACAGCTTGCGGTTCAAATGCCTGGTAGATGCTCTCCCACGTATGCGCACACTATGTCTTCGGATGGCTGTCGATTACAGGCTGTTTTCTTCGCTCTGCCGCTATTGCATACATAGTACATTCTTGATGATACTCATCCCGTAGTCTATATGATATCGATCCATCCGTCTTTGTGGCTGTTCCTCTGCATATTCAAGCCGCTTGAACTTGGCCACCCATTCTCGAGAGTGAGTCGGGCCGGCTATCGCTCCCGACGAAGAAGGCGCCGTCTACACTGCGGGTCGCGGCTTCTTATGCACTACCGTGGGTCAGGCTGATGCTATGGCCGACTATACCGCCGCACAGACCAGACCAGACGAGTTCGCAGCGGCGAACAAAGCTTACTTCGACGAACAGGCACACCATGATCATGGCCACGGACAGGAGCTAGGGCGCAGGAACGTCGCGGCGATGCGCAAGACGTGGCCAGAACTCTTCGACGAAGACGAGACTGTGGCTATGGACTATGCTTGTGGCACAGGTCCGTCTGATGCCTCGCAGATCTAACGCTGACAGGCCTCATGCGATACGACCGGAGTATAGGGAACGTATCCCGGCAGCTCTGCCAATACGTCAAGGCGGTCGTCGGCGTGGATATCAGCGAGGCCTCGGTCGACCGCTACAACGCACAAGCAGCGAACCAGGGACTGGAGCCCGATGAGATGCGGGCCGTGTGTGCTGAGCTGAAGGGGGAACCGGGCGAGCTTGACGGGCTCAAGTTCGACATTGTCGTCGTGCGTGCCATATCACAGGGCCGCTATGTGCCATCCGCTGATTGGTTCGTTTCAGTGTTGCGCGTCGTACCACCACTTCCCCTCGATAGAGGAGACGACGCGGGTTCTGGCGTCTTTCCTCAAGCCCGGGGGCTCTCTACTCGTCGCGGATATCAAGGCGGAAGAGGACGGCCGCTTGTTATTCTCCGAGGGCTATCACCACATCGTCCCACACAAACATGGGCTGAGCGAGGAAGAGATGCGGAACGCGTTTGAGGGTGCCGGACTGGCCAAGTTTGAGACGAGGGAGACGTTCAAGGCGAAGATGCGATCGACGGGCCAGGATATGCAATGGTTCGTCGCGCGAGGGGTCAAGCAGGTTAGCTGAGCTTCTGATGTGGTTGGTGAGCGATCGGCACGCAGCGGCTCTACCGGTTCCATCTGCAAGACCTCAGTGGGCGCATTCCCTTATGAGCGACCTTTTGATTGTAGTCGCCTCTGTGGTACGCCTTCAATGGATTTACTCATCACTATCGGCCTAATGTGCCTTCGATTTGCCCGAAGGGGAGATGTTGTACACGAGACGTACTTGACAATTACGGTACCCTGACTGTCTTCGAACCGCCCATTGCTTACCCCTACTACTTCACGCCCCCCGCAATGAATCACGTCGCCTCGTTGTAGCTCGTATCACAGCAGGGGAGAGTGCTAGGAGATATGCCTACCACGACCAGGTCGAAGTCTACTCTACCTTGTTTGCCATACGGCCTTCGTTGTCTCTGGGGTCAGGGCGAGTTTGCAGCACAAGGCAGCTAGCATGATATAAATCCGATGTGTAGAGATACAGGCGACGAGGTAGAAAGCAATAGGTATGTACGAGCTGATGGATATAATGCACGCGTATGCGAATGACACAGATAGAATCCGACAGAGGGGGCAAGCCATAAGCAATATGGGCAAGCGACCTAACGTATTCAGCACGAGCAGGCACCAGCGTCTTCGTCCCCGTTCAAGCTGCGCCCGGGCGTGACTGAGGACGTTTTCGTGCCGTTGGACGCCTCTTCCGGTTGCGAGTCAACCCTGCGAGGGTAAGTGTATCAGAGGTGCAATTCTGAGGGCCACAAATACTGGAGGCGCACTCGTCTTTGATCGTCTTCGCCAGGAGGCTGAACGCCTCCTCGACGTTAGTCGAGTTTTTGGCCGACGTCTCAATGAAGGGTATTGATACAGTATCCGCGAAGTCCTATCGATCAGAAAGGGTGTTGAGTGCCAGCAAGAATGAGCGTGAGAGCTTAGGCAACCGACCTTGGCAAGCGAGTACTCGACGACCTTCTTCTCGACCAAGTCGGACTTGTTGCCGATGATGAGCTTCTTCACGCCTTCCGAGGCGTATCGCTCAATCTCCTGCATCCAACCCTTGACATTCGAGAACGTCTCTGAATGGAAGCAGGCTCAGGCGGGGGCGTGTCACACGAGCAGTGCGAACGTACCTCCGTCGGTGACATCATAAACCATGATGATACCGTGCGCCCCGCGGTAGTACGCGGCCGCGATTGTGCGGAATCGCTCCTGGCCGGCGGTGTCCCACTACCAACGCACCGCTTCCAATGAGCATAATAATCCAAACAGTCGAGCAGCAACGAGAGTGAGGTTGAAGGCGATAGCCTCTGGCGGAGCACTCACAATCTGCAGCTTGACCGTCCTTCCTTCCAGCTCTATTGTCCGGATTTTGAAGTCGACGCCAATGGTGCTCAGGTAGCTATCCGTGAACGCATCCTCTGCGAACCGCAAGAGCAGACATGACTGCCAACCAAAGTCACAAGAGCACAAGCATGAAAGGAGCAAGGAGTCAGCCTCGGCATGTGTGCATGTGGCTCGCTGGCACGATCGCATCAACACACCTTGCCGACCCCAGAGTCGCCAATGAGCAGCAGCTTGAAGAGGTAATCGTACCCGTCCGGCATATTAGAGAGCAGTTACGCGCCGTGTCGGTCGTCGAGCTCAGACCGAAGGTGGTGGTGCAGGCTCAAATACAACACGAGAGCTGTGGGTGTCGTACACTGCTTCTGCTGCTGTACGCCGCCCGCTGTGTGTTGCGCCCGTTGTCCGGGAAAGGATGTGCAACGCTGATTGGGCGCGGACAGCGCGAGGTCCACAGCATTTCGGGCATGAGCCGAGGGCATCTTGATCCAGCGGGCGTTGTCCCAGCAGACGCTCACAAGCTTCCCTTACATAAGCAATCCCCATTCATCCAGCGCTTACGATGCCAGCCACCACGACGAGGTATTGACCCGACTAGATCATGCTTGCCCTCCATAATTCTATACCCCCTTGACTGTTCAAAGGATCCCATATCAAGCGCATATCTGGAAGGCATGGACTAAGACTAATTGGGAGGAGTAGACCACATCTCCGCAATCGACTGCCTCAAAGCCCCCAGCTCGTTATCTTCCACTATCTCTTTGAAGAACGCCTCGCCGTCAGCACTAGGCACTGGCGGCTGGCCGGGGTTTTGGCGGTCCATGATCAGCTGGAAAATACCGGCCGCGCCACTCATGTTCAACACGCCGGCCAGAGCAGCATGCAGCCTGAACAGCTCAGGATCGGGCAGCTCGACGCCCATTGCGTCGTGGGGTCGTTTTCTGTGGCGAGAAGCTCGCGACGTTCCAGGCTCGGAAGGATTGTCGGTGGATGATTGCGTGGAAATTGCAGTATCAGCGTCCTCGATGCTGTGGTCCTTGAACACTACCACAGTCGGCATGTTATACCGTAGGTTTATGGCATGATCGTATTCCTTGTACTCGTATTGATTCGGAATCTAACAGAGAGAAGTATGAGAAGACGGAGCCGGACGTTAGCCCAAATGAAGAGACAAACCTCTGTAGGCTTCAGGCACCACAGGAAGTCGTCGAACGCCTTGTGCACAGAACCGCTATCCACCAAAAACGCATTGACGGGGCTGTCCAGAAGTCCTATATCCTTGACGTACTTCTCATCGAGTTGGCAGTAGTGCTGGAGTATCTCGAGAGTAGCTGTTATTGACCGTGTCTGCGATCTCAATAAGCAAGGGCATCGTCATCAACGGATTGTCGCTCTTGCCATACCCTTTGTTTCGCGGTGTTGCGGTTGTACACCACAAGAGCACGCTTGAAGATATGAGCAACCTCGAGATATGCAGTGGCCACACCTTCGGGCCTGTTCCTGGTGGACAAATACACATCCATGTCTCCGGTGATTACAGACCTATGTCCCTCCCGCCTGCCCACCTGAAAGCCTATGAGAACGACACTGGACCGGCCTGGCATACAAGTCGTAATACTCACATCACCTCGCAGTTCTCCCGACCGATTTTTGGACAAGCCAACGTCGTCAATAATGGACTCTGTGTTGGTTTCTGTGGGTGTAGCATTTCCAGAGATGTCATCGAGGCCGACAATCAGTTCCGCGTTTTCTTGCTGCGCATAAACTGAAGACGTCGAGACAGTCAGCGCAGATATGTTAGATGTGGCATCGACGTACACGGCCATAGCATGAATGCGGCCCAAGTTGATGCGAGACGTTCCAAGCCTTGCGCCAGAAACTCCAGGCGATCCACGTTGTCTGGAGCCCGGCGGGCATCATCTGCGCAAGCACAGATGGCGGCTGAGACGTATCTCTTTCCCCGTTCGAGGCCGAGATCCTCCGCAGTGGCGTACATCGCTTTGATAAGGCCTCTCACAGTAAATCCCTGGAACAAGACAGCCCTCGCTGATGATGCACGGCGCCGCACCCACTGCGGAGTGTCGTATTGGTTGTAAAGTGGGTCGTTGAGGACCTGAAGGTGGCGTTGGGCGCGAGCATACAGGGCGTCGTCTCTATCGGACTCGGCGCTACTTTCGAGAATAGTCCTGACGGTGTTGGAAAGAGCAGAAGCCTCGTAGGGGTACACCTCGGTGGAGAGCCCATAGCTCCTGGTGGAGGTCGGAGACGACGCGTTCGAGGAGCCAGATGGAGAAAACGTCAGACCAGGAGGCTTGTTCCCACCTGGCGGGGTCTGTGGCGGACGATGGCCCTGAGGAGGGCGTTCGGACCGGGAAGATGCCAAGCTGGTCAAGCTGGATTCGCTTCCATCGTGAGAGCCTGATGAAGTCGTGCGAGCGTGGATAGGCATGAGGGCAGAATGAGCGAGGAATGAATATTGAATGAGGATGTCGGTGATTATGCTGGCTCGACGACGGGGTATTTGCAGACCTGAGTAGACGCGCATTGCTGCCGTTGTACTAGACTTTCTTACGCTGATCAACTGCGACACAATTGCGATAGAATCCTTCTGCAAACGATTCAGGACTGAACCAAATTTTGGTGATCTCTGAACCAATAGGGGTGCTCAATTCTTGTCGGTCGCTCAGTTGCTCGCGCGCCTATTGGGCGCCTGCCTAGCTGCATTCAAGGTCAGCTCAAGCGTCTGCAGCACAGCGAGCAGAGAGACACGCAGGCAGCAGGTGCAACACGACCGCATGATGCCCCCGAGCTGGGACTAGAGAGCGACGCGAGGATTTGACAATTCAGAAGCTATAAAGTTGCTTGTCTCGAGATATGGAGTCGCCTCACAAGGTTTGAGTCCAGTTGCCATCGAGCCCAGAGCGGCACCCTCAGCTGAACCATATATATGTCGTGCTGATTCTGTTTCCGACTTGGGCGCATTGTGTACAATAAGTCCAGGTCAACGAGTTTATAAGCTCTCCCGACGTCACCATTCACTTGCTGGGCTGATTTCCCGGGCCTAACAAACCTAGCATGAGACGATCTTGTCGATCTCTCTG